TTCCCTATTACTTGTATGTAACTTGTTGTGTAACTACTCGTTTCCAATACTTTACATCATCTATAGTAATACTTCACAGGATATGTAATATTGCACTTTTTTTGAAACTCTATCTAAAGTCTAAGGTTAGTACTGTTGTAAAAAATTATAAGTGCACAATATCGCTAATAAATAATAAAGTGATAAGTATCGTTTCTATGAGGATCACACTAATTCTAATTAAGTACCGAAATTAATTAACTCTAAAATTATTTGAACGACCAAATAAATGAGGTGGAGAGTGATTAAAAAAAATAAAGTTAAGTAATAGAACATACTTGCACCACCATATTTGCTTTATTCATGAAAGTACTTGAGGCAACACTTGTACCCAGCTTTAGTCATTTCTCGATATTATGTTAAGGTCAAATTTCGTTGCTTATTTCTTATCATACATATGTCGGAGAATAAGGTTGCACCATATAATCGGCTACCAAAACGGGCCGCTAGCTGTCAACCGAGTTGGCTGCCTGAACGATAAGTCTAGTGGCCCGCTAGCCGAATCGTGAAACGGAATTGCCAGGTCAGCACCCGAGAATCTGCGTAAAGATCTCCTTCTCAACAGTATCAATCCGTGAGATCTTACCCAAAATAGCAAAGGGAAAGTCAATCTTCATCTTAGCTTGCTCCCTAAGCATGCTCTCTACAAGAAAAGTCTCCTAGAGGATCTTCAATGAAATTTGCCTTAATTGATATTTCCAGCCACCAAGGCCTATAAAATTAGCCAATATGCGTCCATAAAAGGGGTTCACGCACCTTGCTCACATCCTTACCATTTTGCACGCATTCCTAGACATTTTTCACAGCTTTATTCATACTTTTCCAGTATTTTTCATAGCGTTCTCCCAATATTTAGGGAGAATACTGTTGTAATTCTCATCAATATTCATAATGGATCATCCAAAAACTCTACAATAGACGTACACTGAATCATCCAAAAGTTAGTGCTTGTAGAGTACTAGGTCTGGATTATAGGCATTCTTTTGCTCCATCCATTAAATCCTAAATGTCCATTTTGATCTTATGGCTACAATTTGTCTGTCGGACTGAAACGACAAATAATTCTTGTCAGACCAAAGACTATGCCCATCTTTTATTGATTGTGATGTTTAAGTTTTAAACTCACATATTATTACAAAATGGGATGGACTTTTTATTAGTTATAATGTTTAACATTAAAATGTTTCAAAGTATTTTTTTAATCATTATGTAGTTAAAAAAAAATGTCCACAAATTTTGTGTATTTACATATAAGTTTAAAAAATGACCTCTAATGTGACATAAGTTGTGGTGTTTATAAAATGACCTATGAAATATACAAGCTCGACCATTAATTTGTTAACTACTTTTTAAAAGTCACACAAAGAAAGTTACACCTGAAATAATATTAGCTCAATAACCGTAAAATGAAAATATTGGCTATATTTTCTAACTGGAGACACGTTAAATAGGTGGTTAAAAAGTGATTGAACGGGTTGGGACTTCTTCTTCTTTTATTATTATTATTATTATTATTATTATTATTATTATTTTAAGGCAAAGCTTGGGACAAGGTTTTCAATGATGTGGTCCATTTTTATGTTATTTCATAGAATCTACTTTTGGCAAGCGCACTGGAGACTCATAGACACGTGGTTCATTGTCATTCTCTTGTGCCGAATAATATGTCCAACGTGGCGGGCCAGCATTCAGTTTTCCTGCCATGTGTTCAGCTCCAATCATTGTTGGGTCCTTGGTGAATAAGGCGGCATTGTAAGGTTGTCGAAGTAAAGTAAAACGATTTGGAGCTGTTTGCTTCGTGAAATTAAAATTATAAAATTAAAATTATTTTTAATTTATGTATATTTTTTGTAAAAAAAATATTGTAAACGAATTATAAATCATGATTCGAATCAGAGAACGAATTCTCCAACTAAACAGACTTTTAAATGCTCCCTTAAGACCAACACGTGAGAATACACGATAGAATGTGTTTAGCAGGGAAAAAAAAAAAAGATGTTAGTTGGTGAACCATTTCAATTTTTCTAGCTCTAGCCATACAATTTCATAAGTCAAACCCCAAAGTTTTAGCATGTTCATTAATTTAAAAGGATAAAGTTTGATCCACAAACTCTGACCTATATATATATATATATATGTATGGTGAAAGAGCTCTACCATTTTTTGTTCAATTACGGTAGACGTGGTAAATCAGGCAATTCGTAAAGTGACTCATATTAATATTTTCAACGTTGAAGTTTATGGCTAAGCGGTAGTTAATTACAGTCTTAACTATATAGTACCAACTTTAGCAAAGAAATATATATATTATCTTTCGCCATTAGTGAAAAAAATTAATGGCCAAAGATAATATAAAGGAGTTTTCATCACAAAGAATATATATAGGAAGAATCTTCTCTCAGAGTATAGGAATTTTTGTTTAATTTCAATTTATTTTTGGCCTTTTTTTACGTGAAATAGAGAACTAAATTAAAATATATATATAAAAAGAACAAAATCAATAAAAAAAAAAAGAAAGGAAAAGACTAACTCCTCTTCTAAGAAAACGTAGTACAGATATAAAAAGAAAGGAAAAGAAAAGCGTGTAACATTCTGCCACGTGGGAAGTACAGATATGTTCCAGTTATGTCACGGACAGGAGATCTTTAGCCAATACTTTTTGGTCATTTCAATTCACTTAAGTAAGTCCTGATTGGTTAACTGCATGCTAAAATACTCCTCCCAGTCCTTCCCAGCGACAACCGGACTGTGACTGGAGTGGACTAAAGTCGGTCACAGCTCTTTCACTTTTTAAAAAAAAAAAAATTAAATTAAATAGCAGGCTGATTATAAAATAATAGTAAGAGAATTTTCAATAACTCGGCTTTTTTTTTATCTAATATTTTCTTAGTAATTTAATTTTAAATGTAGAAAAATAGTAATTGTTCCTAGAGTTGCATTTTATATTATAATATTTTGCTATTCGTATTTTCTTAATTTTCTCTTAATTTGACATTTTTCTCTAAAAATAATACACATATTCATAATATCATCTTGTAATTTTAGGAGATTTTTTAGTACGTCTACGTATAAATAGGTCAGGTTTTAACCATTAGATTTACATTTTTTTTTAATTTACATGATTTTATGTAGATTTGATGAATAAAAAATTTGACCGGTACGTTGATGTATAGGAGAAGATCTCTATAATTTTTTTTTTTTAAAACTGTATGAATAAGGAGCATTCTCTAATACATTAACATATTAATAGATTAAATTTTCTATCACATAAAAATTAAAAAACATATAAATTTAATGATTAGAAAAATTTATCATCGGGATTAATTACTGTTTTTTAAAATTTAAACGACTAGGAAAAAAAGGAGTTGTACGAAAATGACCAATAAAGGAAATTTGCAAGTTCACGTGTTAACAAGCTTTTATTACTTACTATTTTTTTTTCTTTTTTACAATTTCATTCATTTGTATGAACTATAAGTTGCTTTATCTTTCGTCGGTTACTACTTACTGACTTCCATTATAAAAAGAGACGCAGAGCCGACGATTCCGATTCTCCCACCACTACCTCCCACCCTCTCTCTCTCTCCTCTTTTCTCCATTCTGTAGAGAGAGAGTGTTGTTTCTTTCCCGAGAAAATAAACAAGAAAAAAGTTTACGCAGGGCGGCAATCCGTTCGTCTTCTACACCAAAACGCTCTGTCTTAGTTCAACCGTCAATGCACCACAACCATTTTCTCTATCACTAACTTCTCTATCTATTTCCGATCGATTCAAGCCTGCATTACGCAATTCAGACAAAAACTTGCGTCTTTTCGATGGCTTTGTTCTCGAATTGCTTCCTTCTTGTTCTTCTGATCGTTTCCAGAGGTAAAATTTGATAATTCCAGTTCTGCAACTCTTCGCCATTTGAGCTCTAATCATGGAGTTTAGTCATGAACATCTTTTCTTTTTTCTTTTTTTTTTTGGTGAATCCACAGGGGTAATTTCGGTATCGGGAGCTACATTCACGTTCAAAAACAAGTGTGATTTCACGGTGTGGCCTGGAATTCTCGCCAGCGCCGGCAGTCCTAAGCTGGACAGCACCGGCTTCGAGCTCGCGAAGGGAAGTTCGAGAGTTTTCCAGGCTCCGACCGGCTGGTCTGGCCGGTTCTGGGGCCGGACCGGCTGCAACTTCGACGGCTCGGGCCGGGGCTCGTGCGCGACAGGCGATTGCGCCCCCGGCGGGCTCGAGTGCAATGGCGCCGGCGCCACGCCGCCGGCGACGCTCGCCGAGTTCACGCTCGGCTCGGGATCGCAGGACTTTTATGACGTCAGCCTCGTCGACGGTTATAACCTCCCGATGGTCGTGGAAGGGATCGGGGGATCGGGCGCGTGCGCGTCCACGGGGTGTGTCGTGGACCTCAACAGGGGGTGCCCGACGGAACTGAGGGCCGACGGCGGTGGAGCGTGCAAGAGTGCGTGCGGCGCGTTTGGGACGGATGAGTACTGTTGCAGCGGCGCGTATAATACACCGGCGGCGTGTAAGCCGTCGATGTACTCGCAGCTGTTCAAGTCGGCGTGCCCCAAGTCGTATAGCTACGCTTTTGATGATGCCACGAGTACTTTTACGTGTAGCGGCGCTGACTATACCATCACATTTTGCCCTTCTCTTCCAAGGTGGGGAAAGTTTTTCTTTTTTTTTAGATTAAAGATGGCAGTAAAAGAAATTGAAATTATTAAGGATTGGTTTTTAATTTAAGTTAATATGTGATTTTATGTGAGATTTTTTTATTATAATAAAAAAAAATATAGATGTGACTTCCGTAATAAAATTGAAATTGAAAACTCGAATCAGTAAAATTATTGAGGCCACACATTTTAACTAGATTGACACCAGGTGGTGCCTTGTATCTTTATTCTATTTTTTTCGTTCACTCACGTGATTTTATTAAAAAAATAGATATATTTAGGTCACTTTCATTTAACTGATTTGAGTTTTACTATAGTAAAAAATTCTCACATAAAATCACATCTTAATTTAAATTAAAAATTTAAATCTGCGAATTAAACGGACTCTAAAAGAGACATAATAAATTGACGCTAGTTAGAATTGCAATTTTATTTATTAAAGTGTGCTAATTTGATTTAAAAGAAAATGTAGATAAAATTGTCAAATCATGAGAAATTAAGGGAGGCATAATAAATTGTAAAAACAAAATCTGAAATTACATTTAAAAGAAATCTGAAATTACAAAAGGATTTTAATTTTACCATCATGGAATTTTCTTATTTTACTAATTAGTTTTCTTTCTCTTTCATTGGTGTGTGGCAGTCTGAAATCCTCAAGGGATTCCTCACCGGTGGCAACTGGAACCACAATCGGCGGGTCGGGGTCGGGGTCGGGGTCGGACTCGGGAACAATTCAGCAGGCTTCATTTGCTAGTTCATGGCTAGCCAATTTGGCAACCGGGGATGCAATCAGAACACGTCCTTTAGCCTTTGAGACAGCTATTGTTTTGGTGGTGTCTTGGATTCTCTCATTTTTGCACTTGTGATAGTTACTAAAGTAAAGTCCCATAATTCTCCACTTGAGGTAACTCTTTAGAGGCATACAGGAAGAGTGAAACGTCACTATGACCTGGGTAGTGCCTGGTCATGAGAAAAATTGACAGAGAATCAAGATTGTAAACCGCCCATTTCCAAGTCCGACATAATTTAATGTTCCAATCATAGATAAAATATAGTGCAAGTGTAAGCATATTGTTTTAGAAATAGAATAATCCCCCGATTCTCGTACACAAAAGGCTACTTTACTGATATGATCAAGCAGGATTGGATTGTTTTCCAGAAAAGAAAAGATGTGTGCAATTTTTTTTTTTTTTTTAAGTCTTTTGTCTCTGTTTACTAGGAAAGTGGAAAAATGAAGTAAGATGATGGTAAAGCTAAGTGGGACACGTGAAGATTGGTTTTGTGTTTTACTCTTTCCTGCTTTAATCTCGATGCTTTTGAGAACTTTTAGGTTGATTTGAATAAATTAGGAAGAACGATGTGAAAAAAAAAAATATGACAATTAGTGGATAACTTTATGAGGATATATTAATTAGTGAAATCATTGTCCGTCTGAATTTAGTTTAGTGCAGATGTACCATTTACGATGTCAAATTTAAGCAATTTGTTCAAAAGTATTGGGCTATCAAAACCAATTCTTCAACATAATCATGCAAGATGAACGAGTGAAAGATACACAATAAGCCACTTTTGTCAAACAAATTTAAGCAATTTGTTAAAAAAGTATTGGCTTTCAAATCCCATTCAAAATATAATCATGAACAATAAGCCACTTTTGAAATTTAAGCAATTTGTTAAAAGGTATTAGCTTTCAAATCTCATTCAAAATATAATCATGAAATGAGTGAAAGATACACCAATGAGCCACTTTTAGGATTGAAAATATTATTTATCTGTTTACTGTTTTAATAATTTTATTTTACTGTTACACATATGATCATGCATGGCAATTAATAATAAACTTTTATCAAAATGACTCAAGTGGAAACAACCATATCTAAATCAACTACATTAATTTAGCCGTTTGAAACTAGGCCACCGGACAAAAATAAAGTAGGAACAACTGATAGTATTATGAAGTGTATTTCCACCTTATCATTATAGGATGTTGTAAGGATAAGCACTACCTCAGGTGAAAACAGCAAAATCCTCTAATACCAACATTTCTCTTAAACAATAAATTTAAAAGCGTATTTTAGAGGACTGATTACTACTCTTTTCTTGTATATACACTTAATCACGGATATGCATTGCAATTTGCACGGTTTAAATTGATGATTTTGACACTAGGAAGTGAAGAGGGTTGTCCAAAATTTCGCCATCTCTCTCCCTCTAGTTGAAGAGACACGTGAACATGAAAGTTGTTCAAATAGTGCATGGTTGATAATTGTTATGTAGGAATATGTTAAAATGAAAAATATCAACGTCACTCTTTATGCCACTCTTTTTTTTTTCACTTTCAGCATTCATTATTTGACATGTGAACTCTATTAACATAATATATTACTATTTAACTAAAGAATGAGATAGTCGAATCTACGTGTCAAACAGTAAATACAGAAAAATGATAAAAATAGTATCAGAAAGAGTGATTTTAGCATTTCTCTAAGTTAAAATGTCGTTATTGCTAGAGAAGCAAACAAAAGCTAAAAAAGCAGTGCAGTGTGAGAACGATCCAAATTGCTGTCCCATTTAGCCTTTGAGATTCTAGGCAAGCGGATGTAAGAGGTTGTTCCTCATCAACTTGTGTGGGGGAAGGAACCACACAAAGAAACGAGAGAGAGAGAGAGACCTACTTTTTCCCTTGAAGATAAGACGATGACTGATGTCCATTTTTAGTGGTGCTTTGTGATTCACCATTTCCAAGTGTACCGAAAGTAGAGAGCAAAATATGAACAAACTGGTGATTGGTTGAAAACAGGGATAGTGGAAAGGAACAGAAAATATTGGTGGCAACCATGCACCAAAACTATTTATGGCAAAAAAGAAAGGTATAAGCGCTATTATAAATGATTTAAATGAACACTGCACATGCCGCTACAAAACGGAATTGTAAAATTTGTGTCTTTTCAGTTACCGTTTGGGAAAATTAATGAATAAAGATAGAATGAAGTTTTCAAAGTCTTAATTAACTTAATAGAAAAGCTTTTTTTTATAAACCATTTTGATCAGAAGTTCTTATGGAAAATTATTCAAACACTTTCAACAAAAATAGTTTTTGGACGCAGGAAGCCAAAAGCGGCTTCGAGAAAACAACGCCAAACGATGTTATGCATTAGTTTTGATGCAATGTGACGTAAGTGGTGGTTAGGATTTCTCGATTTCAATGAAAATAAGCCATGAAAGTGTGTCTTAACAAATTTCGGGTTCTTTATGAGACATTAAAGCTCTATAATTATGAAAGTAAGAAACAATAGTCAAATGAAAAAGACACATTTGAACACACTTGAGACAAACGTCCTGCCGACATCCTTGTTCCTTTAATGAATTACTCCCTCGTTGAACATATTGTTATTTCTACACAACAGAAACAGAAGCACAAAATCCATCGAAAATCCGTTCTGAAAATCCTCAGTTTTTTCCTATTGGATGTAATCACATGACAAGCAATCCTTGTCAAACCAATTAATATAGTTTTTAATGAAAGGAAAGTCCCACTTGAGCAAAAGCATAACCGAGATCAAACACTACTTAAGTAGGAGCTAAGAATTTGAGCCAAGAAATGACAAAATTTGCTCATTGCTCGCTGATTCTGATCTGGAGCCAGATGACGATTTCCCACTCCTTTATATATATATTCTAGTTTCAAATAATGGGCAGAGTATTGGATTGCTTTTAGACTTTGTTGTACATCATCCTTTATGAAAAGTGCCATCTTTATAATCCTTGACGGTCATATTGTAAAGCTCTAAATATGTATGCGACTTGATGTATGAAGATAGAGAATCTTCAGTCAAAAAGGTTTCAGTGCGTTCTCAAGATCATGTTGCAAAAAGAAATCACTTACATATTGGGTCAATTAAAAAAAGACTACCCTTATTCTCTCCGGTCCAATTTGGTAATCCACAAGTCAATAAATCAAAGATGACCGACATAAAACTTTGGAGATATTGCAGTTTTAGGCAAGGGATCCACCAACCTTGGGGGGCAAGAATGTGGTCTGTGCATCGGGATTTCTGTATCTCTGCTTTTCACAAGCAAGTACACTCAAATAGTGCATGAAGTGATGCCATGAAAAAATTTTCGACAAATCATGCAAAAGTAGTTCAACTTGTTAGGATAAATAAGTTGCGGCAAAAGACTAATAATTTTACTTTTTGTGGAACTCACAAAATTTTGACATATATGTTTTCATCATATTCAGGATGAATGTTTTCATAATGTTCCATCAATTGGATGCATGACATGAAAATGGTCACCAACAACATAAAGTTTTTCCTGTTATTTAAATACAAAATTGCCAGAAATATGTGCAGGGAATTAGGAAAACCGAAACCAAAAGATCATCGCATGATTCTGACCAGTAACGGGTAGCAGTGATCCTTTTCATAGCTGGGCCAGGAGTCATCACCATTCACAAAGCTCTGATGACGCCTCCAAATTTCTACGTCATAATTCTCTGTTACGCTGACCCGCAAGCCATTTTCTTTGATTTCCTCCAGGAACTTGTCCAATGAATCACCTCTTTTGGGACTGAACAATAGAGCTTCGCTTGGCCCCACTTTTTTCAACAAGCACTTGACAAGTTGTGCAAGCCCCTTGTGGAATTCCTTAAAAAAGGTGCTGCCAAATCACATATCAAGGTTAAAGTATATTGAGAAGATAAAAACAGCATAATGATTTGACGAGCACAGTATTTTATGCTTAAATATGCATTAGTAGTACGTACAAGATAGATGTGCCTTGTCAACTCATCAAGATCTACATATCTCTAGGTCATTAAGAAGGGCATCCATATAATCATCCAATTGCCTCAATAACTCATCGAAGAATTATTTGATTAAACAAAAAAGTGGCATGAGTCAGATAAATTTAAGAAAGAAGAGTGTGGTGTCCACACAAAAGTTGGCCCATTGTGACTACCATCTCAGCACTACACAAGTCCAAATCATCAATACTTTTCTAAGAAGAAAAAAAATCCGAATATGAAAATAGCAAATCCAATATAATTTTTAGTAATTAGGATTCGTAAGTGCTTGGAGTCGCACGCTCTGATTCTCTTCTCTTTCTTTTGTAATAGAAAAAGTGCAGGACACTATGCATGTGGCACTAAGAAAACAACAGAGGAGAGAGAAACTCACCAGTCACTTGCAACAATGAGATCAAAAGAGTAAGAAATGTTTGAAATTTCATCCTGATTCCAATGCAACATCATGGGTTTTACTTTTGTATCACCAAATGCTCCAGAGTTGATCTCTATATTACGCTCAATATCTAGACATTAAGGATCCTCAGTTTTTCTTTCATATTTCAGCTTTTTGGGGAGGTGGGTAGGAGAGTGTCTTCTGCAGCCAACACGGATAATGAATTTCACAACTAACATGATCTTTTAAGTTTAAATGCTCAAGCCGGATTGAATGAAAAGGATACAGTTGACTACTTGAGCGTTTCCATCTGAGATTACAATTTCGGAAGCCTCAGCAACAGCTGCAATAACTAATGCCGCCAAGCCATAGCCTGATCCTAGTTCAATAACTCTTTTAGACCTGAAAATCGAGAGGGAAAGTCGAGAAACTCTGTAAGTAAAACCTAAAGTTAAAGTTGTTCCCAAGACAGAGAATGAAACATCACAATCAAACAAAATTTTGAGACAGCAATTGAACCATTTATATAGACCTGAACATATCTGCATGTGACAAGCAAAAGTATGCAAGAACCTCTTCTGATGGCCACTGACCTGAAGGAACATGTAAAGTTAAAAGTTCATACAAACAGAGGCTATTAACAATTCCCCATTTGAAATCACAAAGATTACGACTGAGTACATATATCTGCAAACATGAAACTGTAATAGCTGCATTGAAACACTAATAAATCCGAACTTATGAAATTTACAAAAGAAAAAAAAAAGGCATAATCCCTTGAAGCTTCTAACTACAAGTGAGCAGAGCTTTTAAAATATTTTGCTAAGATGTCTTATCCATAGATTAGTCTCCAACAACTAAATGCATAAAACTTTACCTCAAGAATTCAAGAATCAGCATTGATTTTTTAATTCTTCCGTAAAAGTGAACATTCAATATGAAATAAGCCCATTAGTCCTAAACTCGTAAATAAGCAAGACACATAATCTTCAATTTTGATGCAAATTTGTACGGTTTCAAAGGAGTACAAAAAAGGAACTTACATACAAGGCCAGTATTATCAATTTCGTGTTTATTACAAAACTCAAAATCACTGAGGTCAGCCACATTGTTCACTCTCTGGCTGCATAAAAAAATCAACATAAACAAACTCATCATCAAAGACTTGCAATGAGCCAAAACGCAACAACAATAGCATATATATATATATATATATAAATTGTTTATATATAATATATATATATAAACAATTTGCTAATAATTACCCAAAAAGGCCTCAATTTCCATCACAAAGCACGAAAATTTTAGAAAGAGAGAAAAGGCATCAATAAGTTTTTTGGTCTTAAGAAGAAAAAGAATCTAATTTGAGCTTCGAAATCGATCAAATGCGTTAAAGAAGGTAGATTTCGGAGAGTTACGTTAGGAAAAGCTTGGGAGCTTCGTCGACGGGTAAGGTGAAGCACAAAGTGGCGTCTTTTGATTGTTTCGTCGTTGACGACGGAGAAGAATCTGAATCTTTCTCGGCGTCGGCGTCGTCGGCCAATTGACAAGGTATCAAGTTAAATCCTCGCTTGGCCTTCCTTGAAACGCGCTTTATACTGATCTCAGAACTGTCACCTGCTCCGATCACACACGAAACGAGGATCAAAATCATCCGCGAGAGAGAGAGAGAGAGAGAGAGAGATTCAGGTAGAGTACCTGAGGAATTGGGAGGACGACGGCGGAGAAGAGCTTGGCGAAGGAGTTTCCATCTGAGAGACGAAGCTTTCTCAGCTCCGTCCTCCATTGTTTCTTTCTGAACACTCTCTCTCTCCGTCGCCACTTCTTCCTCAACCGCCGGAAACGGCCTGGTCTGGTGTCTAGATGCTGTTAAATGGGCCAGGCTTGCTACAAGATATGGGCCTAGATTATGACCCAAGGCAGGAGATTGAGCTTCTGAGTCTGCACCATTAAGTCGCTTTTCTCTCTTCATCACGTCGTGTTGTCGCTCTGCCAGTGAAGTTATGTTTATCTTATTGTCGTTTTTGAATATATTTCGTTTCTCGTGTCAATTGTGGTTTGTTGTCGTTGTTGTTCTAATTGAAGGTCGACGTCATTTGTTTAGCGTATTGCCGTTTTCATGCTGATGTCGTTTCCCGTCTCTCTCCCCGTTTTTAATATATATAGTTGATTGATATCGTATCATATGCTTATTAATACTTTTAGTAATCACGTTTTTGTTCATGTCATCGTCGTTTTATGGCTGATCTGAGTGCAGATAGTTGAGCATCACTCTTCCGTTAATAACGTTTGTTAATTCTATTGATGTTTATTGACGTCGTTTTTTAAGAAGAATGTCGTCCTTCCAGTCTGTTGGATCAGTTTGCCGTCGTTTCTATTTACACGATGATGTTTGGGCGCATTGCAGCTTCTGCTGACATTATTTTCGTCCCATTTTATAGTCATTTATCGGACCTTTTTTTTTTTTTTTTGCATTCTGCTTTGAAGCATCTTTGGATTGAGTGGCTCCCTAATTATAATAGTAAAAATAATTAACAAAGCTGAAACATGTAAGCAGGATTAGGTTATAATGTGACTTCCTCTGGTCCTGTCGTTTTTTGTTTTTTATTAATTAAGTTGTGTCGTTCTCAAACTTAATATGGTTTATCTATGATTGTCCTTTCTTCTACGCTATTATTGTTTGGTGTCCTTTACCAACTTTATGCCTTCTTTTAGATCTTTGTCGTTCTTAAACTAGAAGTCGTTTATTTACGTTAGTGTATTTTATTCTATTCTTGTCGTTTGTTCCATTATATTTGTTTGATGTTCTTTAACGTGTTCATGTCGCTTTGCGATTCTTGTCGTTCTCACATATAGAGTCATTTATTTAGGTTAATGTTGCCTCTGATTTTGAGTTCTTTAAAAGAAAAGGAAAAAAAAAAAAAAATGTTACCAGTATTCTTAGTTTATTGTTGCTATCTGGTGTGTGGGAAAATGTGGATGACGCGTGGAAGAACAACAGTGTGATACGTAGCCATGCTTTTCCTTAAAAGGCAACAACCCTTGACGCTGGGGACTCCCTTTTCTTCTGCTGCAAAAGAAGCCCAACTTAGGACGCCGACTCCTCATGACGACGACATGTCGTACCGTCGACCTTACGACGGAAATCCTTCAGGAGAAAATTAATTGCCAAGAAAGACAACTAGGTTGAGCAAACAGAGATGGCAAGAGGAATGCCCCAAAAGGAGAAAGCCTGACATCGCAAGTTGCGTACAGAAATGGGAGATGTCTGCAATGCATGCATTAATTGTAAACTCTTAAACCGCCCTACGGGGGACAAAAAAGGGTTACAGGTACGAACAGAGCTGTAATATGAGACTAATTGGCTGAGTGAACAGTTCACAAAGTGATTAGTGGGCTACGGTCTGGGCCTAGAAAGTCAGACCATTTGAGTGCTTCTGCCTACAAAGGAGACCCACCCAATGAAGGAAGCTCGGCTATAAAAGGGGCAAAGCTCCATACAGGTTAGAGGTTTGCTTCCTGAGAGAGAGAAAATGAGAGAACAACAGTTGATGTAAATTGTAACAATCTCAAAAAGAATATAAAATCACAGTGGATGTAGCTCTTCATTAACAGAGTGAACCACTATAAATTTTGTGTGTTCTTCTACATCAAGCATATTATCTCATATTGCTCACCATTCTAAAAATACAACAAACACTTCACTGCATAAATTGAGTATACAGTCAATATCAAGCCGGTAATCCAACAGGATACCTAGAGGTGACCCGGCCTATTTCTGTTGACGAGTTTTCACCGTCAACACTATCTTCTCATGGTCGGCGGTTATCACAATTCATGTCGTTTTTTGATGTTGTTGTCGTTTCTTTATTTTTGATGTCGATCTTTAGAATGCAGTCGAACTGCTTTTTAATGTCGTTCTTTTAGTTGTTGTCGTTTTCTTTGACAACCTCGGTGGTTGATCGTTCATAGTTGATACTATTGTTGTCTACATTTTTTATGTCGTATTTATGTTATTATCACTTTCCCGAGTCTGTCCATGTCATGTATTAGATTGTTCTCATTCTTAAAAGTTAACGTCGTCTACTCAAATAATGTTGTTGTTATGATATTGTCGTTTTTTGGGGTTACCAAGTTTATGTTGTATTTTACTCTATTGTCTTCGACTCTATCTGCGTTATTATCTGTCGTTTATTCTTCCTTGCCAAGATAAATTCGTTTTTAGAAATTCTTATCGTTCTTAAAGTTATTGTCGTTTATTGTTTGCTTCTGATTTTGACGTCTTTTTTAATGTTATTATCGTCTGTTGACATTATTTCTCTCTCGTTGTCGTTTTTCACAGCTCATGTCATTTGTATACACTACTATCGTTTCTCATTTTGATGTCGTTTCTAATAAAGTGGGGTTCTTAATTCTTATCATCATTTTTCATGGGTATCATGGGTTTACTTTGATAATATTTGTCTTGTCGTTTCCGTTTTTATGTCGTTTTGTGGGGTTAGTCCCCTCTTCCCCTTTTATGTTGTTTTAGGATGACACATTTTTTTTCTTTTTTTAAACATTTCTTGATGGCCCAAGTACATCATTAATTTTTCAACCAAAAAAAAAAAAAAAAAAACATTACCAATTTCAATGACTAGCGAGTGAGCGACTCCTCCAGGCCAAACTCAAGGACCAAGGAAAGGGCTATTATGATTGTCGTTTATATATTTCAAATTATACCATGCATGAACTATATACAGCTGTTTACAGTGGAAGAATAACGTAGATAAATACAACAAATTGAAACATATCAATTCCCTAATTGTTCATACAAGTGGGCATCCTTTAACCACAACCCCTTGTTGGGTTGGGCAAGAAGCCAAGGGACAACCCTCCGAGTCATTTCCCCACCATTTGAGGCCTACATGTTCCATTCCCAAACACAAGTAAAGCAACACCCCCATGAAGGCTAATCCAGCATCAAGTGCGCCGGACAGCACATAGTTGTGGCGACTCCACCAGCCGCGGTGGTACCTGTAAGCAACAAAACCGGAGGCAAATCCGATAAGAACCCAACTGGTGTAGTTTACTGCAGTGGCTGGGGGCATGTTGCTTATAGCCCCAAAGATCACGGGCATGTTGACGAGTCCAATCCAATGCTTGTTAGGGAAGGCCTTGTGTGCAAGCCAAACTAGCACGGGAGCTATTGCACCAACCAAGAAAAACCAGTTGATGGAAGAGTAATACCCAAGATCTCCAAAGATTCTGCGAGGCCCGACCAGACCCCAGATGACGGATGCGTCGTAGAAGACATGGTCACCGGGACACGTCCAGGGGCTATCTGCTGGAAGCGACGCCCTGTCGCATATGTCTGGGATTGTGTCCATAAGCCACCACGCTGTCCCTAAATGCCCAAATGCTGATATGATAGTACCCACTACCTGATAAGAAGAACATTCTTAAAGTGGTTAGAAAACTTATTATTAAGTGGTTATTTGTGCTTCATTTTGGGAAGCAAAATGGGATGTTGAAACCTGTGCCATGAACATTGATCTGGGAGGAATCTTCATGTAATGGCCGAGCTTGAAGTCTTGCAAAAATGCAATCCCCTGCTTCATACTTATGTAGCCATAAACCTTGAAGCACATGTTAGCAACGGGATATCCCGGGTATATATATCCAATGATATACTCTGTGATTACATTCAAGCCTGGCGTCTGCAAGAACCGATACAAAGTATTACTCTCATAAGGCACCAAAGGTGAAATAAATCCAACTTTTGTTAGAGATTGAAAGCATAACTTTGGCAAGATGAGTGGACTTGCACCTGATTAGTTGTGGCTTTGATGACGCCAACAGGAAGAGTGAAAAACATGGCTAAACCACATGCCAGCAAAATGCCCCACCATGGCAATTGCAGTTGGCCATTGTAATACTGGCATGTAAATATGGTCGCTACTATGTTAACAAAAAGGATAGACATGAACCACCATTGAGGAACTTGTTCATAATTTCTCATGAGTCTTGTATGCACATCCATCTTTTTCTCTTGGAATGCTGACTTGGTTAGCTCTCGCATTTGTCTGCTTCCAAAAATTAGTCCCACTCAGTATAACCCACTTTAATGTTCAAGCAAGTTCAACCTGCTCTTTATTCAGCTAAAGTAAAAAGAAGAGGCAGCTTTATTTACAACTAAAAACGGATAAAGAAAGTATAAGCGCTCCAGACAGAATGACTTGGTTAAAGATTGAAAGTTACTAAACACTTCATGTTTATATTACTTTTACCTTTCAAGTTTATGGGTTTAACAAATAGTTCAATAAGATGGAGCTTTGCTATTATTTTGCAGGTATTGATATGGCGATTCCTCATCAATGTATTTACTGATCTTGACAGTTTAAGCAGTATAAAGAATCAGAAGAAAGCATTCATTCAAAGTTAATAAAAGTGGCAAGCTTACCTCCCATTGAAGAGGATAACGTGAACAATAGTGGCAGTAAGGCAGGCAAAATTCAAACCATATGCAATAGCAAATAATGTGCTCAAATGGAGAGGGCCCTGGCGTTCATACGCGTCCAAATCGAGGTGGAATTTTGAGTCTGTTATTGCTGTGACATTGTAGTTTTGTCCATTAGACGTGAAAAGGCCATCTGAGAAAATGGGAAACGTTTTGGCCTTGTAGAGATTGAGCCAATAAGCAGCAGGGACAATGACATAGAGCATAAGGGCAAACCCAACGGCCACGTTTGCAGTGGCAAACCATGGACTGGCAAGTGGGCTGTCGAGGTAAGAGGATATGCTGGACCAATCAAATCCAAACGCGCCAACACCGAGACCACGAAGTCCTGAACCTAGCTGATTGGCCAAGATTGAAGCGGGGAATATCCAGCAAATCCAAGATAGGGACGTTAGCCTTGAGAACAGGTAGCCTGGAAGGACATAGTAAGCAAAGCTACAAATAAAGGCAACGAGAAAAAATTGATTCCGGGTTAAGCCCCCCTTTGGCCTCTTGTCTTTCTCGTGTAATGCCCTGCAAGAAAGAAGTGGGTGACTAAATTGCACCTAGGAGAGAAACGAAAACACGCCTAAAGAATACTTCACGCAATATATGTTTCACAGCATGATTACAACACTGACTAATCCATAAGTTTTAAGTGAATTCTTAAGAAAAACGAGTTCTTTTCATGGTTTCTGTTATAATGGGAGTGAAATATTAGGCTGTTAGCTACTACAGTATAACTTGTTTAAGATCCAGTTGGGACTAAAAATCACCTCAAACAACACACACCACTAAAAGGAATTAAAAAAAAAAAAAACCTTAATCATGATTATTATGAAAATAAATGTGGCAAAATTTTGTAAGTTTCGTCAAAGTTAAAGTACTATTTGTCTCAACTTATTTACTCCTAAGAAGTCGAGTTTTAGTTTCACGGGCATAATCTTTTTCTATGTTGAATATCATTTTTCAGTTACCACCATTGATTTAAAAAAAAAAATGCTTACTATCCACGGTGAATCACTTACCATTGGTTAAAAAAAAAATAATAATAATAAATACTTACTATTGAAGGTGAATCTGAGATTATGAATTCCTGTTCAATAACTTAATTTATGGGTGTCAAAGTGAAATGTATAAATGATTCGTCAAAATAGAATACTAATGCTACACGGCCAGTTTTTATCTTCCATTTCCTTTCTCTAATAAATGCATAACATTACCTTTGTTCAAGAATACAATTCTAATTTCACCCAGATTAGAATCAATAATTTAAAGGGATTTTTCTGGTAAAATTGAAAAAATAAACTATTAACATTTCTCTACTTTTCAGTTAAATCTATTATCAATTTTATTTGACGTAATTATGACCGGATTCAATGGTCAAACTCTACTGGTAGACTGGCTCACTGGAGAAGCCCTTTAATAGGTAAATTATTGTCCTTCGTACATAAACATTTAACACGTGCATTGAAAAAGCTTACCACTTTAACATTTAAGACAGTAGACACCGTACCCCTAGGGGAAAAAAACAAAAAATAACACGTTGAGAAAAAAAAAAAGAGCTTTCTAGTTCTACTGTAGGAATTCCACGTTAAATTTAGTTAAAATCACGTAAAAAGTAAAAACTGATAAAAGTCAAATCTAACTATTCAAAACAGATCCTGATCTTTTCATACTCAACCGCAAAAGTCAACTAAAAATTCAATAATATCCACAAACGTGGGGATAGTCGGTAGAAAAACGTTACCGGAAGAGAGAAACCTGAACCAGATTCTGCGGCCACCACATGGCCGCGGGCTCCACCAAAAACCGCCGGAACAGCCCTGCCCACCCGAATCCCAGCACCTGCGTCGTCACCACAACCATCAACGCCACAAAGAAGCTCAGATTCCTCTTGTAGAACACCTTCACCGCGCTCACAATGTGGATCGCGTACACGTTATCCGCTCCAGAGTTGGCGAAGATCGTGATCAGAACGTGCTCCTTCACGTTGAACGGCCCCGGATTAAGCGAGAACTCGAACCTCCTCCCCTTGAAGAACACTCGATCGGTGATCGCCGACGCCATGAGGTGGCCGATTGGAACCACCGCGATCTGAGCCGAGATCGACGTGAGCGACATGGGCTCTTTCCTGTACCAGAAGAACTGCTTGAGGAAAGACAAGACGAGGCAGGCGACGATCCCGAGGGTCCACGTTCGGAAGGTGACGGCCGGGAGGGAGGGATCGTCCGAGATCGGAACGGTAAGAGCGACTTGTTCGATGGGAGAATTCTCCCCCGGCGATGGCGTGGTGGAGCTCGTGGAGGCGGCATGATCGGACTCGGAGGCTTTGTCGCCCTTCGGAACTGCGGAGGAAGAAGAATGTCGGAGGTTTCAAGAGTGTTTGGATGGTCGGAAAATTAAGAGAGAAAGTGAAAGAACAATGGAGGGAAAGAGAAAAAATTCTTACCGAATGGAGCTGTGATTTCGCGCTCGGTATCGATCATCTCGTTCTTCTTCTCAATTGGATCAGAGAAAACCAGGCTTTAATCAGAGTCCAAGGCCCATTTGGATACAAAAAGTTGGGCTACGATTTGTTAGGCTAGCCCAGGATGTGATCATCGACGTGGTGATCAATCGTGACCGTTCAATTGAGACCGTGGGGTTTTTGGACGGTGTGGATATTCGCACTCTAAGGACGTTAATTTAATTTCCAAAAAAGACGCTGTGTATGAAAATTCTATGATTATTAGTCTCTGCTTATGTCACTGCTTACGAGGATAATTTAATGAGGAAAAAACAACGTGACAGCTAAGCTAAGTTGAAAAGTGATCCATCCGCCTTTCTCTAAATTCAGTTCCATGCAAAAAAATCTACATATTCCAATGTATTTATGCCCATTTTTTGGGAAGATACATTTCTCGTTGATGAGGTTTAAAATGTTGAAAAGTAACAACAATTATTGGAAAAAAAAAAATCCCAAAAATTCTCTTATGAACCAACAATTAGCTAATTTTGTGTAATGGTTTTTTTTTATTTCCCTTAAATTTTTTTGACAATTCAGAATTGTATATCATCAATATGATTGATGATATATATATATATATATATCTTGCACCTACTATAAATTCTTTAACATTCTGCGTTAACACATATTAAATCACACTTCATGGACATATAAACTAATAATAATACTTATTTATTGCCACTTTTTTTTTGTGCTGAATACTTTATTGCCATTTATGTTTGCTCTATAGTTTTTTGCTAGAAGTTGGCTCTATGGTTGGTAAAACAATTAAATACTTACCATTATTCAATATAAAATAGTGTGTACAAAACCCACTACATATTTCCTTCAAAAAAAAAAAAAAAAAAAAAAAGAAGAGCACATTACAAATTAAAACAAGATTAAAGGTGATCCTACAAGATTCTTAAAAATTAAGGGGTGGGACTTAGGAGTAGGGGGTCTGCTTATATTCTGCTGGAGGGAAAATTTCCAAATACCCCAAAAAAAAAAAAAAAAAACAAAAAAAAACAAACAGAGAGAACTTAAATGACTAATTTTGTGAACTTAGCTACAAAGAGTCCGCTAGTTTGCGACGTTAATGGATCAAAACGCAAGGTCTTTGGTATCCTTCCGCTTCCACAGGGCCAACTTTTGGTAGCGTCTATCTCCTGCAACTCTGCAATATCAAAATTGAAAGTGACGAGCCCGACCTCGCACTAAAATCAATCACTAAAGGATTTTTAGGAAGAGACGTCACGACACTAATGATTAATGATTGTAAAAATAATTTTGTTTTTCTTGCTGTCTATATGTCGTGGCCCTGCAACATTACCACGTCCAATGACTGGACTTATGTTGGTCGCACATCGCACAATGTGACAGGTCTAATAAGTTAGGCCCCGTTCATTTCGCTGATTCGAGTTTAGAATTCGAATTTTGCTACAGTAAAAAGCTCTCACAAACAATAACATCTAACTTTTTTGCTACAGTAAAAAATTCTCACATAAAATCACATCTCAACTCGAATTAAAAACTCAAATCAGCAAACTAAACGGGCCCTTAATTTATATTATAAATGTTCGGGCTCTTACTTTCCCTGTAATATAGAAAGTAAGGATTATTATAAGTGATGTCCCTAAACAACTTTATGATTGTTCTCAATTTGTCTCTTGAACTTTAAAAATTCTCACTTTATCTTTAAATTTTGAATTGTTCCCACTTAATCCCTTCTGTTGCAATTTCTGTTAAAAACAGACAAAAAATAGAGAATAATAAAGTCACGTGACCTTTCTGTTGAATTCTTGTTAAAAAGAAACAGATAAAAACCACATGGCCGCACTTAATCTCCTCTATTTTGAGTTGATTTTAGTAGAAATTACAATAAAATGGGCTAAATGAGAAAAATTCAAAATTTAGACGGCAAAGTGGGAATTTTTAAAGTTTAGGGGACAAACTAAGAATGACACCAAAGTTCAAGAGCACCAGTGAGAATAATCCTAAAAGTAATATTACGTTTATTTAGCATAACACTAACATTAGAAAGAAATAACATCGAAAAATTATGTTGCACCTTTCTAAGGTTAGTTTTACATACGCTTCCCACTTACCACAGCAAAAGCCTGAAGTGTTAATCGAAAAATTCAATTTGGAACTACACAGATCCTTTCTATTCCTATTCCGAAATTGAGAGATTTCAAGTAAGAAGAACTTTACCAGCTGAAGGGTTCTCCTTGAGAAATTGCTCTACCACATCTTCATTCTGAGCAACTGTCAAACTACTTGACAAAAAAGGACGAACTAAGTATGCAGATATACAATATATGTTTATAAGATTTTATTGCAGTTCCTAAAAAATCTAGTCCCTCGTACGTGGTTTTGTAACATTCATATAGTAAATTAAAATAAAAAATAAAAAAACAATAACAATAATAATAAATAACAAACCTTTGGTGTTACTTAAGAAACTTAAATTTTCTCTTATACCACTAAGCCATCGAATTAACTTTTATTCTAGTTAATCAGATAGCTATGATTTGACGGATTGCTTCCTAATGAAACACTATGATCTTGGCCTTAATATACCCATACATACATACATGATGTGTGTGTGTATAATATATCATACAACCAACAGAAAGGACACCTGCAAGTACTGTAGACAAGCAGCCCTCCTGCTTTCAGCAACCTAAAACCGTTTGTTAGGAGTTTCAACTGCAAACAAAAAGGAAAACACGTGTTTTGTTACTTGTGTATAAGAAAGCACCAATTCAAATGTAAAAGTCAGAACAAAACTCATTTCTAACTAGGAAGGATCAGTTCTTGACAAAAGCCGAGAGACAATGATCGATGATCATTGTTTATCGAGCAAATAACAAACGTAATAGGAGAAAAGATGAATAAGAAGCTGCAACGAAATTGAAAGAGTAGCAAATTTGACAAGTAAATGTAACAAAACTGTAAAAATACTATTTATCGCCATTAGTGACACAATCACTACATATTAGCGGTATATTTAAACTGCCACATATCAGAGTGGGACTTGTTACCTCTCTTATTTTGTTGACAGTTCTCTTTCGGTGACATTCGTGTACATTACCAGTAGAAGTGAAAGACATTGCTCAATCCAATTAACAGATCAAAATTAGTTACCTGAAGCAAAGTTAAGCTATCAGTTCTCTCTGCATCCAATACGCGGCGTTGAAGAGTTTTCCAACCCCAATGTTCAAATTTTTGGATATGTTTAATTGATCCATCATGAGTGCATTCTGCATCTACTAGCACCTGAATCAAATCCATCGAATGGTGGAGACAAAATTGAGAAACAGTCGACTCAAAAAAATTAGACTACAAAGTGGAATAAAAGTTGTACAAGAAAAGGAACTACAAGAGGAAAAAAAAGGAGTAGGTGCAATTTACACCTTGTCATAACCCAAGCTCAGTATCTCACTATCACAAAGAGTTTGATATAATTCATTTTTACTCAGCCCAACCACACCAGAAAGCCCACCGTAAAAGATCAACTCTGGTTGTTGATTCTCCGGATTCATAGAAGCATTTTCTCTTGCTCGGGCCGCCTTTTTCCTCTCCTTCCATGTTCTCTTCGACGTCCACTCCTTGAATCGCTCGACATTTTCTCTGAATGCGGATTCACCTACAAAATTCTAGAAGGAATGATAATGCATCAAAAACATGAAAAATAATTTCAAAGCATCAACAAAATTGAAGTTTAAAACTAAACAATTATGCTGGAAAATTACATGATCTAGAATCTGGATGATTTCTGATAGGAACTAGAGAGAATGTTGTTCCGTCAGCAACAAAAAGCCGGCAGCGCTCGCCCAATTCGTATTTCTGAAGCATTGTCCTGCAGGCTGCTAGACGATGCCTTGAGACATCAACGCCGGTTACAGAACCTGAATCCCCTAGGAGGTCTAACATCATACAAAGTTTAGCACCTGAAGATAAAAGACATGAGAAACAAAAGCAACTAAGAAAGTAAGTCATGAGAAACTCGAGAACTCATTGTAAAGTGTTAAAACTAATATGCCTACCAAACATTAGGTCTTGTTTGGTGAGAGGGGAGAGAACCTTTCCCTTATGGCATATGGTATGAGAGGAAGTAAAGAAAACAAAATCACCTTCCTCGTTCGTTATAGAATGCAAGAGAAAGGATAGAAAAGATTTTATTTGTACAACTATCATTTTATCCTTAACGAGTGATACTAAAATGACTTGAGACCATAATTCAAATAAACAGATAAGTTCCTTTCTTGAGAGAGAGAGAGACAGAGAGAAAAAAAAAAATCATCAAGTAACCCCGTTAAATTGAGAGGGATCAAAATTGCGGTTTTTTTTTTTTTCTTTGAAGGATAATTGATTACCCGACCTATTCCCTTCTCTAATCCTTCCTATTAAACAACTGCAGGTCCTAAGATCACTTCACTAGTGCCCATAACTCTATCATTCCTTCCACTTTTCCCTCTTATCAAACAAGTTCTTAAGCGAGATTGATATAATACCAAAACTTGCAAAACCACTAGTACAAGCCAATTTATAAAAGTCAATTCACCTCAAACATATTGACCAAGGTCATGAAAGACGCGTTTGGTTTAGACCACATGAAATACTTATCATTCCAATTAATGTTCTTCTAAAAGAGAACAAGATTTATCAAACACCAAAAATAAATAACAACCACCAAAATGAAGACTTACCAGGAGCGGCACAAAGATCAAGAACATGATCACCAGCTGAAATATTCAAAGCTGAAACAGCAGCTCCAGAAGCTGCATCGATTCCATATATCTGAGAGGCCAAACAATCACATTTACAAAACATTTCTCCAAATAAAATTCTGGGTTTTCTTCAAAATCGTTGATTAAGTAAGAAAACAAAATAAAAAAAAAAATTATTTTCTTTGGTTTTAGTGCCTCTCACCTTTCCTTCTCTGTATGCCTTTGAGTTGGCGATATGAATATTTTGGGGAAGAGAATAAAAACCAGGCAACCAACCCACTTTCTCAAGCTTACATTCCATGTCGTTTTCAAACTCTTCTATTTCCGCTTCACAACCAAGCTTTAGCCTTTATTTAGATTACGAACAAAACCATAACAATTTTAAAAACAAAAAAGAAAATTAGCACAAAACAAAATATGAACAGAAAATGATAAATGAAAATAAAATAAAAGCCAAAAGTTCACTTTTTGAGAAGAATTATTGAAGTGGCTACCTTATGTAACGAGGGGTTGAATCAGTGGCGGAGTAAATCGACGGGTTGAGCCCATTGGCCTCCAGAAATTCAACAAATGCCTCTGGTAATGGTAATCTTGATGTTTCTTCTTCCATCAATCAATCAACAAGTACCCGAAGATTAACTTTTTCCTCTTTTTTTTTTTTTTTTTTTTTTTTTTTGCTCCTGTGCTTTCTTTATCCTGGGAAGGAGAAGAAGAGACGAGAAATTTGCCCCCCCCCCCCATAGAAGGAACGACATTGTTTTCGTATGGGACATCCAAAGATTAAAGAGTAGTCTATTCAAAAAAGAATCCCACATACAACACGTCGTTTAAAGTTCAAACGACATCAAACATAATTTTGAAAAAGAAAATTACAGTTTTGGTATTGGTAATTCTAAAACAAGAAACGATAGTATTACTCTTTTTGTCAGTATTTTACTGTTTAACACGTATATTTTATTATCTCATTTTTTATTTAAATAATAATATATTAATATATCGTGTTAGTGGAGTTCATGTGTCAAACGGTATATGGAGAAAATGACAAAGAGAATGATAAAAAAAGTGATACTAACACTGGGGGCGCGGGGGACAAGAGCGGGGAGGGAAAATATTCTTTAACACGTATACTTTAAACCAATCCCCGTTTAAAGACAGACGAGACCGAGAATATTCTTTTACTACCATATTGTTAGATATCCAAATAAAAGTTTACTATTCCTCATGAGTGTTAAGTTTAATGCTTATAAGCAACATTGTATAATCTATCCTATTACAGTTATGAATAACCTTTTAATCAAATATATTTCTCTGGACATTTTGGGTGTTGTATCGCTATGAACCATAGAAAATCCCTGAGTCAGTTTTGCCCCCTTGAAGTTTGAGCTATAAAAGGTCCTTATCATGTAACTCTTGTCGTTCATATATATTTACACCCGTAACGTAGACAAGATAATAACAACAATAACACTGTAACATGCACTGCGTCTTTAATTATCAATGAGGGTAATATACTTAAAACCCCATTTTCCTAGTCGAAAACAAAAACGACAACGACAATAAAACCGGAAGCAGCAGCTGCCTACACCTCCTCAAGGTCCAACACCCCTCCCCCATTTCCACGGCCTACGACAACAAAAATTCTGCCTCTTGGACCCATTCTCCTTCGACGACATCAAAAGCCGAGGGTTCGAACTCAACAACTTTCACTTGACGGAGTTTCATTTTGACGGCCACCTCTTACGAGTTATGCCCTTCTCGTGTACATTAAATTAATTCTTTTGATTGTCGTTTTTATTGATTATGTTGCTACTGTCGCTTGACCAGTTCATGTCATTTTCAAATTTTGTAATCGTGGTTTTGGTTATTTTTTAGTGGTTGTCGTTTTTGTTGATGTCATTTCTTGTTCACTCTCACTTATTAGTGATTGTCGTTTATCTATCTACCTTATGTCGTTTCCTTGTAATTGTCTTGTTTGTTTGTTGTCGTTTATACTTGATGGCGTTCTCCTTTATTTTCGTCACTGTCGTTTCTAGTTTAAATGTTGTTTTACTGTCGTTTTTAGATATCTTTTTTTGATGTCGTTTTTTAATTACTGTGTTGGTGTTATTTTATATCTATAATTCGTAATGGTTTCATCATACTGTCGATGCTACGTTTTTATTTTGTTATATTTATAGACTTTTTTTGTCATTTTCTCCATTGGACTTGTTATTTTGATTTTGATGTTTTCATGCTTTCATCGTTGTCGTTTTCTCATGACTTCGTTTTTATGATGGTCGAACAAATTGTCGTTTATCTACTTGATGTCGTTTTCTTTATTCTCATCTCATTCTCTTTTCATCAAACGCAACTACGCCAGTGACGAAGCCAGGATTTATTAGTAGGGGAATCATTTTTTTTAATCGAGATCATACTAATATTTATAGACTTAATAAAATTAAATATTTTTTTTGGAGAATGAGTGAAACAGTATAATTGCTAGGGTGATTAGTAAATTATAACATAATTTTAAAAACATGTAGTTTATAGCATAATTTAATATCTCAAACTTTCAATAATATTAAAAATCCAAAAATACCCCTCTCATTCCCACCTCTCTCTTCTTTTCCCTAGTCCACCGTGGCCGGTCATCGGTGACCGGCGACTGTCACCGGAGATAGTTGACCAGCGGCCGTCGTTAGCAACCAATTTCGGCAGCTGGTAAATACCGTATTTACTATTAAAATATTGTATAAAATAATAAATACCGTATTTATTATATTTATCTGAAAATCCAACAATCGACTCCGACGATTGCTAAATACCGTATTTACAGGTAAATACCATATTTATTAAAAAATCCAATGACTTGCTCCAGTGACCGATAAATACCGTATTTACCAATAAATACGATATTTACTAATAAATACCATATTTATTCAAAAATCTGGCGACCAACTCCGGCAACTGGTAAATACCGTATTTATTGGTAAATACTATATTTACTAATAAATAACATTATCATATTTATCTGAAAATTCAGCAACCGACTCTGGCAACTGGTAAATATCATATTTACTAGTAAATACTGTATTTACAAGTTAATACGATATTTACTTATAACATTTTATTTTTTTTGAAAATCTGGCTACCGATGCCTGCATCGGTAAATACCATGTTTACATAGAAATATAGTATTAAGGCAAATATATAACTACCGATGCCAGCAAATGTTAAATCTGACGCCAACGTCAGCGTAAGAAACCAAATCTCACTAGAAAAAATTAATGAAATAACACAAAAATACAAACAAATGTAACAAAAAATCAAATCTCAAAAAATACAAAAATCAGAATAAATCCACAAATTCTCAGAACCAATTCACAAACTCACATCTAAGAAAAAAAAACAGGAAATCACACCATCGATCTACAAAAAAGCTGTTTACCTCAAAGCCACCGTCCACGACCTTGCCGACGCTCTGATTTAACCAAATCCAGCACCCATCCGAAATCCAACGCCACTGCAAACTTTCGATCATAGTAGATCGTGACAAAAATTAACCCTCTTAAGCACATCCTTTTCTTTAACAAGTTCATCGACTCGCTCCCACAGTGACTTATTCATTTCAAGTACTTTAACTCACTTATTGAACATGGTCTGGTAGGATTCCTGAATGGTTTCAACAGTCAGATCCTTACCATCACTACAACTATCAAAATCTGAATCGGGTTTGTCTTCTTTTCAAATTTCAGAAACGGTTGCAGAATGTGTTACAACACTGCTGTCAGAGACATCTTGATCGACATAGACATTGAAAGCAACATAATTGCTCACATGATTATCTTCCTCCTGACTGTCTTCAGAATCCTCATCACTCTATGTGACGTTAAGAGACTTATTCTTCTTCTTGAGAGTGTTAGCACATTCAGAGCCGTAACCGTCGCACTCTCGGCACTAAATTCCCCTATTCTTCTTCTTATCATTGGAGGAATTTGCAGCTCCCTTATTTTTTTGAAAATTGTTAGAGTTGTCGAAAGTTGGAGTTTTGTTCTTCTCGTTGAACTTCTTCATCACCCTGTTAAAATTCTTAGTCAATCGAGCAAGAGACTCCGTCAAGTTTTCATCTTATTCTTCAACATTATCTTCCACTTCAGCTTGGAGAGCATTCCCTTGAGAAATCTCTTTCGCCTTCTTATTTGGATTCAGATTCATTTTGGACGTCTGCAGGGAGCCCATCAACTCGTAAAGCCTTTTAGAGTCAACATCCTTCGCCTTTTCAATGACGGTGACTTTGTAGGCAAATTTAGGGGACAACGATCTCAACTCCTTCCTGGGCAGTTTTGTCTTGGGAAATTTTTCACCAATAGAAAATGATTTATTACCGATGTCACATAGTCTAGAATTGAAATCAGAAATGGTTTCATTTTCAAGCATGCAGAGCGGCACATACCAGGGGGTAGCGACTATTTATTAAAAACACAAGACTCTGCTAAGTGGTAACACGATGTATAGAGTCTGACACTTGTCCGGTGCTGGAAGGTCAGAAGGAGAAGTGTTCTAAGCTTTGAATGGAAGCCCCGGTAAACGGCGGCAGTAACTCTAACTGTCCTAAGGTAGCGAACCTAGTGGTGAGAATCTACAACTTGGATAGTCTGATCGCTGTGGTACCCTCATGAGCGGTCTCCAAAATCTCGCACGCCTCCTTTTGTCGAGTCACGTGTTGAGATGAACTTGAGCTGGTTGGCATCAACCCCGTTGAATATAACATTTGGAGCACAGGAGTTATAGTTGGCCAACTTATCTTTATCAGTCGTCTAGGAAGTTTCAGGCTTCAGAGACTCTTTTCTTGCAACATCCTTGGTTACAGAATGAGTCCATCCAGTCAATATTGCACGTCAATTCTTATCTTCCACAAAAAATCTGGTTCAAAACTTGCCTCAAAATCCGAAAGAAATCATCATAAAATCTAGTTCGAAATATGCTTCAAATTTGATTCAAACCTCCCATATTTTTCTGCGCCAAATCCAATTCTTGCACCAAGATCCACCTTATCCTCTTTTTAAATTTTACAACCAGATGCCAATGTATTACCAACTAAGCAAAAACCTACAATTTCAAAATGAAAAACGCAGATATACTATTATTTACCAATCTTTAAAAAATATGCTATATCATTAAAATGCACTAACAAAATATGCTATTTTGCTATATTTTTCTTTTTTAAAAATCTAAATGGTTAGCCTAATACAATGTAAAAAACTATAAATTTAAGGAGTGGTTTAAGTTTAATTTATACACATACTTATTATATTAAAATTAAAATTAATATAAAAACAAAAACAAAAAATCTAGGGGCCCCCTTACCCTGCGACCATGGTCTGCATCCCTTACGTGACCAAGGTGATATTCGCCCCCAACATCTCTTCCTCTGCCACCTTTCTCCTCTACGGAGTGGCGATGGATGACAAAGTCTTTGGTTTCGACGACGTAATCCTCCACCACAACCAACACTACAAAATCAATCGGCCAAACATTAGTATATGTTTAGTTTACGGATTCAGAATTACGATTCAGAATCATTTTTTATTTACGTGTATTTTTTATGAGAGAAAATACTGTAGTGAGTCACGAATCATGATTCGAATCATGACACGAATCCTAACATCATTTAAGCCTTTATGACCTCTAATATAATTCGACAAATTGCACAGTCACAAAGGATTGGATGTTATTGTGGAATCGGTTGCGACATCAATACAAGTGAGCCATTCCAACAAGTGGGAACAAAAAAATAATTGAAAAAAAAAGAAGATAAAAATTAAAAAGGCATTTCTTTTGTGGGTTTTAGCGGGCATTCAACTATAGTAGTTGCCTCCACACAATTCATATATTTCATTGGTCGCGAACTTCCATCATTTCTTCAAAAGTTCAAATGCAATTCTTGCTTTAGGTTTTTTCCATGAGTAACACTATTTCTCACAAGTATAGTATCTTACATGAAAAAGACAACAAACTAAAATAAAATAGAACTCTAATCAGACAATGGATAAAAATGATACCAACTTTCGGAGATATTTCAGTATTTATACAGAATAAGGAATTCTAAAGTAACTGCTAGTTTTGTGTTTTCTATGGTCAGATTCATATCAAATTCTATTAATTTTTACCTTTAATTTGATTTAACTTTAATATTGCACAACTGATAGTGATTCCTACCATAAAAACCTCCGCCTAAATATGGTTACCAACGAAAAATCCAATATAATGTGTACCTAATTCTCTCTCTCTCTCTCTCTCTCTCTCTCTCTATATATATATATAAAGATTTCCCTATGCGTGGTGTATTCTCATATTCGAGTTTTGAGATGTGACATTTTTTGAGAGTTTTTTACTGTAGTAGATATTTTTTGAGAGTTTTTTACTATAAAAATTTAAAACTGAAAATTTAAATCGGTGAAATGAACGAGACCGTGAATATTACTCCTTCACATTTGATATGTTGTCAATGACTAAACAGTGATTGGTCCCTACATTTAGCACTATTAGTAGATTAATTTTTTAAGGTTCTAATCTTGAGGACCCTAACCACAGATTCACACAATATAAAAACCAGAGCAATGAAACAACTGCTATAGCACTTACCATCAAAAAAAAGCCCAAGGATTTTTTTTTTTTTTTTTTTTTTTTCCGGGAAAACAAAGCAAACAGCTGCCTCGTTTCTAGAAGCTAAAGCCTCATAATATATAACGAACAACAAAGCTTTTCTTCATGGCAAGGTTTAACCTTTTCTCAATCTTAAATCTGTTGGATTGATACAAAATTGAGTTTCTTCCTTGCTTAATTTTGATATGGGTATTTCTTGTTTTGGTTTCTCTTGTGGGATTGTTCTTCTTCTTATGCTCTGTAGCTCAGGAGCAGAAGTTGTCACCATTGATGTTCACGCAGCCAAGGATCTGATGAAGTCTGGACACGGTTATCTTGATGTTAGGTAGGAGACTCTGAATCTTTATTCTTTATTTTGTAGGAGCTTTCTCTAGTACAATTACAAAAAATAACTACAGATAATTCTTAATTTTTAATCGTTAAATATATATTAAAAATTATTTATTTAATATTTTTTTTAATTTAATATGATATTCACTTAATTCAACGGTTAAAACTCCCACTACTATAAAATTAGCCAATCAGAGAAATTTCTTATTTTTTTCTTTCTATTATTAATTCTCAAATATTAGATTTAATTGGGTCTGAAAAAAATATAAAAATTCTCTTATACGCATGTCATATTGGTACGCTTGACGTACGTTCTGGATATGTTGAAAGAAATTCTAAAAATATAATGATTTTAAGATTTTTTTTTAATATTGGAATATGTAAAATTTTTTTGTGATATATAACAGGACAGTAGAGGAGTACAAGAAGGGTCATGTTGAAGTAGCCAAGATTTTCAACATTCCTTACATGTTCAATAGTCCACAAGGTGCTTTTCTCACTATTAGTCGTTATGATTTTTATTTTCATTTCTCCCAAATTATGTTTTGCCTAATTTTTTTTAATTTATTTTTTATTTATAACATTTTGCCTACAGGTAGGGTGAAAAATCCTCAATTTCTAACAGAAGTTTTATCTGCTTGCAACAAAGAGGACCGACTTGTTGTGGTAATACACGTCTCTTTCCGTGGATTATTAGACTATTTTAATTTGAATTGTGAAAATAATATGATCATTTATTTGCCACGTGTTACAAAAAATGCTGTATAAATTTTCTTTGATTCGTGGTTTATCTGTACTAACACATTATCTATAAACTATAAAGGGTTGTCAAAGTGGAGTAAGGTCCTTGTCTGCAACTTCTGATCTGCAAAATGCTGTAAGTAAATTCAACACTAATATTACAAAAAAATTTTAATCGTTAGTTATTTCTGTACCATCTGACTGTAACATTTTATTTTATCTAATATGATTTGGGACTTTCTCTAATAATTTATGTGAAAATAAATTACTAGAAGTATCTTAATTTTCAACCGTTAGATCTGTATCAAAATTTATCTATTCTGTATATTTTTTTGATCTGATGTGATTTTGATTAAATTTAACAATAAAAAACAGAGACTATCGGTAGGACAAACTACCTTAGAAATTTTAATTTGCCTAAAAAACTGTATTTGATTTTTAATTTAATGGTTAAAAACTATGTCTTATGAGTAGAGTTTTCTGTTTTCATACCCTTTACCTAAATTCTCCAAATTAAAATGAGGTTACTAATTGACATATGCATATTTATTTCTGCTTATTTTATTTACCAACAAGAAGTGAAAGATATGACATTTAAGACACGAAAATGGCAGGGTTTCAAGCATGTGAGCAACATTGGAGGAGGTTATCTCGCTTGGGTGGATAATGGGCTTCCAATTGAGAAACCCAAAGAAGATCTCTAGTTTTACACCCAAAAAAAAAAAAAAAAAATCTCAATTTGCATAATTTTCCCATTTATGAAGGAAGATTGGGCAAAATTTAAAGCTATGTAAAATAAACTACATTTACATTAAGGGTTGTTTCTCACTATTGAAGATGTTGTCTTTACTTGTGATCAATGTAATATGATCTTGCTTTACATTTAAGACACGTGGATGTGCCAGCAACTTTCTCATTTAAAAACCGGTGGGTGGCCCCAACATTTTTTTTTTTTTTTTTTTTTTTTTTTTTTTTTTTTTTTTTTTTTTTTTTTCAGCATACTTGGTTAAGGCTTTCTTTCTTTCTCTCTCATTTTTTTTTTGGGTGATATGATTAAGGCTTCCATTTACCAAGTTTTACGGAGGGTTGTACATAAACCGAATAACTCACAAATTCAATTTACCCCATTCCAATTTAACTCAAAAAAGATGATTTATAACATTATTTTTTATTTTTTAGCCCATTAAATATCTAATTGAGGTATTTGGGGTGATTTGTAGCTTGTGTCTATAATAACCCGTATATCTCAACACAACCCACACAAACATGCATGAGTCATGTCCTCTAAGTTATAAGTTCTAACCCTAGGCTCTACTCTATCTCGTCTAGCAATTCTCTTCTCTACACGCAGATACAAATTATCTTCAGTCCTTCCTCGACTAGTCGACCTAGATCCTTAAACTCTCCAATGCCGGTGGCTTCTTTCCGCCTCTCCTCTCGTGTCTCTCCGCCTTTAGATTGAACTTTCATTTTTTGAATGATAGCCTAACTACCCAACCCACCTCGCCCCGTCCCAATCTAATTTAAATATCATTAGGTTGTAAAAATTTTTTAACATTATTAAGGCCAAATATATGCAACCTGCATCTTTTAAAGTGTAACAAAAAAAATATATCCCGTATCAACTCAACCCATGTACGGTCCTAGTTTTACGTGAGGTAACAAAAAGAAATGACGTTGAAAGTCAAGATGCTAAATATCACCAGTGGCAATCGTCACCATTTGTTTTTTAACCAGTTAAAAATTGACAAATTCACACACACACACACATATATAACTATGCTATGATGTGTAAGAGTCCTAGAATTGATACATAAATTGATCAGGAAATTACGTAATATCCCTCATTAACATTGATACATAAATCTGACAATTCAGACACGTGACATGCATGCCGTTAATTATTAGGATAAATCAGTGACATCTCTTAAACTTCTGAAAAACCAATAAATAGTCAATTTCTTTATCAGAATTGGCAAATATAAGTTCGTTTAGTTCATTGATTCGAATTTTTAATTTGAGTTGATAGGTGACTTTATGTGAGAGCTTTTTACTACAGTAAAAAATTTAGATGTACTGTAGCAAAATTTGAATTCTAAACTCGAATCGGTGAAATGAACAGGGCCTAATATGATCAACATTTCAGACTTATCAAACTTCAAAAATTAAAAATAAAAGAAAAGAAACGAAAAGGCCTTTTTTTCAAAATTTTTGGAAATATTTACAAAATTTATTTGGTGCCATGCACCAAAAGCTCCAATCCAATTTGTTTTACCTAATTCTATATAAATCTTTTACCCTTAGATGTGGTGTTTTCCTTTTAGGATAATTCCATGACATTGACATGGCGTCATTAGTGATTAGTTCCTAATTATTTGGTACTATAAGAAGATTAGAACCCTCTTAGTGCGCGTTTGATTTATAAATTCAGAACTATTTTCAGTGTACATTTTTTTTTTTGAAAAAAAACACTGTAACGAGTTACGAATCATGACACGAATCCTCATACCAAACACCCCAGATTTTAATCTTCAAATCCCTAACCACATATATATTCACATAATTACAAAACTCAGCGCAATGAAGCAGCTGCTAAAGCGCTTTTTAAACTCACAAAAAACCCAAGTTTTTCCAGGAAAATCAAGGAAGCAACATATTTTTCTACACAGCAAGGTTTAACTTTTTATCAATCATCCTATTAAATAATAGATATGAATTTAGAGTTTTTCCTTGGTTAATTTTGATATGTGTATTTCTTGGTTTGGTTTCTCTTCTGGAATCTGGGGTATTTTTTAAATATGTTTTTAATTCTCTGTAGCACAAGAGAAGAAATTGTCACCATTGATGTTCATGCGGCTAAGGATCTGATCAAGTCTGGCTATGATTATACTGATGTTAGGTTATAGACACACACACATATATGTATTACATATATATTCTTTGTTTTTAATCTTCAAATTACTGGATTATAAGGTTCTCAAAAAAAAAAAAATGTTTTTGGGATATTCTTAAGCTTTTCTTTCCCCTTTCTTAGTATTTCCCTCAAATTTTAGGGAGATTCTAAAGTGGTGGCACTGGCACCTTACTGTATCCAAGTTATTGACTTTAATTGTGTGATTTAAATTAGATGGCGTTTAATTGTGTGATTTTCTACATTCCTTACATGTTGAATGCCCCAGAAGGTCCTAATTTTCTCACTATTCATTGTAATGATTTTCATTTTTCATTTTTTCAAAATTATATTTGCCTAACAATGTGATTTATTTATTTTTATTGGGACTTTTTGCCTTCTGGTAGGGTGAAAAATCCTGAATTTCTCACAGAGGTTTTATCTGCTTGCAACAAAGAGGATCCACTTGTTGTGGTAATACATGTCTCTTTTCTTGGATTGTTAAACTTTTTAGTGTGAAATAGCTCCGTTCATCTCACTAATTCGAGTTTAGAATTTGAGTTTTACTACAGTAAAAAACTCTTAGAAACAGTCACATTTAATTTTTTTATTACAGTAAAAAGCTCTTACATAAAATTACATCTAAACTCGAATCAGCAAACTAAACGAGTACGCGATTAGTTCTTTGGCATGTGTTGTATAAAATTCTGTATAAATACAAATTTTTATCTACACAGGGTTGTTAAAGTGGGGTCAGGTCCTTATCTGCAACTACTGATCTTCAATTTAAATTTAAACTCTTGTTACTGGTAGTACATATGTGCCTCAAGGTTAGATTAGATCAAAATTTTAAGTAAAATGAAAAAGAATATATAAGACTGTATACAATAAAATTCACGCCAATTGCTTGTGAAATGACTGAAAAATAAGCTTATTGCCCATATCCATATTTATTTCTGCTTATTTTGTTTACCGAAAAACTAGTGAAACATATGACATTTAAGAGACATGGAAAGAAGATCTATAGTGATCCAGGCGATGCTTCTTCCCCTGTCGTTTAACTGATAGCATGCCTGTACATGATGTCGTTTGTAATAAGAGCCAAGCTCCTGTCGTTGTATTTGGGACCTAAAGACTTTTTCTGCCTGTCGTTTAGTGCTTTGAAACCAGGTTGAGTCTGTCGTTTGTCTCCACTTCTGATGGATTCCTTTAGGTTTGTATTCCTCCTATCGGGAGGTTGTAAGGCATCTGCTAATTTTGGTGAATGGAATTGCGTTGAGCCCTTTCTCTCTCTACCTTGAATTTCTCCTTTTCTTCTTGCATTTTCTGGTGATTGATTCGCAGCTCCCAAAGGCTTCTACGCCATCTATTTCTATAGTACAACGAGAAAAATATCGATTTGCGTAATTTTCCCATGTATGAATTGATGGGAAAATGGCTTGAAACTCATTTACATATTATATATATATATATATATATATATATATATTATAAACGACTGTATTATTACATATATATATTATAAACGACAGTATTCGTTGAAAAACGGCAAGAAGCAAACGAAAGATAAAAGCAGGGGAGCGACTAAGACCTCAAAAAGGCATTTACTCCACTGAGTCAGACAGAACCGAAGGGCGATAGAACCCACAGAGAAAGCTCCCTCGAGGTTACCTACCGTAGCCTATTTAGCTAAGCTGTGGGCCATGAAATTACAAAACCCAGAAATTTTAGAAACGGCCCAAGCGTTAATGGTCTGAAAGAATAGACACAACATCCAAAATAGCACTAGCTATCTCCCAGTTACAGTCTTTTTAGATTCTTTAATTTTGAGTTTTTAATTTGAGTTAAAATATAATTTTATGTGAGAGTTTTTTATTATAGTAAAAAAGATATAATTGTTTAATTTTATGTGAGAATTTTTTACTGTAGTAAAAAAGATGTAACTGTTTCTGAGAATTTTTTATTGTAATAAAACTCAAATTCTAAACTCGAATCGGTTAAATAAACGAGATAAATTCTTCTCTTTTAGTGAATAAATAATCACCTCACGTAATCAATGTAATGTAATCTTGCTTTAATCACAAAAAAAAAAAAAGAACACACATATGGGATGTGCTACGAACTTTTTCTGCATATTTCTAAGGCATTCATTTACCAAGTTGTGATATTTGAGAAATCAAATGCTCTCATCGGTGCCTCAATTGAAATAAAATCTTGACTCCGTCTCTGCGTATCGACAGGAAGTGAGGTGTAGTCAGTACCATGATAATTAGCAATGGTGGTATATAATGGCACCGTTTATTTCATCTATTCAAGTTTTTAGTTCTAAATTTTTACAGTTAAAAACTCTTAAAAATGTCACATTTAATTTTTTTGTTACAGTTAAAAATTCTTAAAAAATATCACATCTCAACTCAAATTAAAAATTTAAATCTATGAAGCAAACGAGACCAATATTATTCACATGACAATTCTTTTGGCATGGATAAAATTTACAGAGTAAAGTGTCGTTTGGCAGCCCACAGAAATCAGCAGTAGCAACTGCAATATTTTATGGGTTACAAATCGTTTTGTGCTTTTAAGGTTCACATGCAATTTATGACTGACCACACTACCCTGCCTTGTACAACATTATTATAATTGGTATTATTGTCGTTGTTGGTTTTATTTTTATTTTTATTTTATTTATTTATTTATTTTTTTTATACCTGTTTAACGCGTTATATGCAGGTATATGGGGGATCATCCACGGAATAAATGTTGTTGCAGATGAACGAGTCATCCCCCGTAAGCTCAGAAACCAATTCCATCAAATACCAAAAAAAAAAAAAAAAAAAAAAAATCAGAAACTACCAAATCTTTTCCTCCAAATTTACAATAACATCTTTCCTTTTTCTTTCTTTTTTTTTTAAAAAAAAAAAAATTCATTAGATGGGACTGTATTTGTATTGTACCTACCATGGGTTGAAAAATATTACCAACTACTAAATTAAAAGTCTTGCAGGCCAAACTTACCAACTGAATGAGCATTTATTGTCCTTAACAAGAATTGTAACATATTTCAAGTAAGTTTTTTTTATTATCCTTAACGGGTACTTCTATAAAAGGGACTCTTATCGGTATTGTACATTTTTTATTATTAAACACGGTTAAAATCACATTAAAATATATAAAATAGATAATTTTTAATATATATTTGATGATTAAAAAAAAGATATGCTATTAATTCATTTTTTCAGGTCTTATTATAAAAATTTCTTTAAAATAAAATGAGATTCTCTCGTACGCTTAACGTATCGATAGGTTAAATTTTTTTCTGCATATTTTTTAATTTTTATTTAATTTTATGTAAATTTAACAGATAAAAAAACCTAACGTAGCCGGTATATTGACGTGCCGAAAAAAAAATCTTAAAATAAATTGAAATAAATTGAAATTGAAGATATTTTTTTTGATACATTTATTAATTAGTTGGGATGGGTTACATGGGTAGATATCCACTTGGACAAGTTGGTCCAGTTATGTTGGCCACTGTTTCCCTACCAACCCTTCATTCTTGACCTCAAAATAGACCTCATTAATCATGACATGACAATACCATATCAATACTGACTTGATATGTCTTGATGGACTAGTCCCAGCTAAAACTATCTATGGGAATTATGTGACAGAGTATTAAAAAAAAATGTATCAATGCATTCCAGTTTTGAACAATAAAATTACATTATAATCATATTACATAAGAGCATACGGTAATTTAACGACGCTGAATAAAAATTTGACAATTTAAAATTATAGACCCATTTAGTTCGCTGATTCGAATTGATATGTGATTTTATGCGAGAGTTTTTTACTATAGTAAAAAAGTTAAATGTGACTGTTTCTGAGAGTTTTTTACTGTAATAAAACTTAAATTTTAAACTCAAATCAATAAAATGAACAACTTACTTATTAAGGATAGGATTTAAGAAGATCTATACGAAAAAAGTAGCCGCCTACGTTTCTTCGTTTTAGGACATGGCAGAGTGACAACTTGTAAACAAGTGATTAACATTTTAATGACATTGTTGAAATCATGCACTTTATATAAATCTTGGTTTTTTATTTTTATTTCTTTCAATATATTCAGGAAGTAATATCACTCCCTTTATAAAAACAGATGACATAATTTTTTTTTAAATTGATTTGTTCAGTACTTATTCTCGTCTTTATAAGAGAAATGTCTCGTCTTATATAGTTGAGATTAGGCTTACAAGATTTCAATATTATCTGACAGGATAAGATTTGCACTATTTAACTTTTAACTTATGTTATAAAAGATAAAAACTACTTTTGATAAAATGGTCGGCACACTATTTCACTTTTGACTTATTTTTCAAAAGATAAACAAACTTTATACAAGATAAGGTCTCGTGCAGAAAGATGATAGCCGGAGAGAACTTCTTTTCAATTAGGAGACAAATTGTAGTGGGAGCTATAATCTGATGAGTTAGAGTTCATTGAGCCATGCTCATGATAATACCACGGTTGCTGTCGTTTGTTGGGTGATGAGTCATAATTTGGGTCTTGAGAATCTTGAAATAGTGCTGGGCCACAATTCTATCAACCTTGTGTGTTATGAAGTAATGATAGTGCTAGAGCGGAGGTCGTTACATTTTCTTCTTCAAAGTATCGATGCCGTTGTCATTGCTCTAAAGAAAGTGGCCAAGCACCTCCACCTCTAAAGATTCCAGGAAAAAAAAGTTTTGCAAACATATGCAAGTAATCATTATTGGGGGGCCATTCTCATAGAAGAAGATAAAAATAGGAAGCATTACTGTGGACATGCTAATGGCCAGTTCAAAGAATCGGAAAAGCACCATCACACAATCTATAAGGAGATTCTTGCAGTAAAATATGAAATTCAAAAATTTAACTTCCATCTTAGAAGATCATGCACATCAAAAAGTTTAACTCTAAGATCTTTGCTACGATCTTTATGACCATAAATATTTAAGTACCTGTAACACTAAGTCAAAAGTCATAACAACGCTGTTGTAATGAAAATAGACACCAAAGTTCCCAAAAGGGTCCCTAGAAGAAACAAATTCCCTAGAACAATAAAAGGACAAAATGGATATTTCACTACTGCATGACAAACACTTCATTTTTATTTGTTCATTTATTTATTTATTTATTGTTTTTTCCAGAATTTTGACAATTTCATAAAGAAGAAAAGAAGAAAAAGAAGAAGAAGATCCAAAAGTGATCAACACATTGGCACAATCAACTCGGGGGTTGGATACAGTGATTGTGGTGGGCTCCTCTTTAGACTCTCACTGAGGGAGAGATCAAAGATTCAAGTCTCGGGCTTCCCCAATCTCAAAGGGTGCTTACTGTTAAAAAAAAAAAAAAAAAAAAAAAAAACAGATTGACACAAGCACGTTGCAGAGTTTCCAAGTCCCCAACCATGTTGGAAAATCAGTTAGTGGGGCCCATTTTCTTAGGCCTATCATACCCCCAACTGGTTTGTGCCACCACCCCATGCATGTTCCTTAAATTTTTATTTATTTTACAGTCTCAAAATTCAATTCCAGGCATAAAAAAAAAAAGCCCATTTCTCTCAATTAATGTCTCTGCATTTGAATCAATAAAACAACACATTTTGATCTGAAAACAACAAATTATCCCAAGTGGGAAATGGAGGGGAGATCTTTGGAGGAAACCCCAACATGGGCTTTTGCCACAGTCATCACTGTGCTGGTTTCTCTTGGCTTCTTCTTTCACGTCTCTTTGAAACAATTTGGAAAGGTAAGAAGTACTAATAATATTATGCGTACTTTTGTCTTTTTTTTTGTTTTATTGAATCTTTAATTTGTTTTGATGTTGTTTTTTTGTCTCTTTGAGTCAGTGGTTGGACAAGACTCGGAGGAAATCCCTCCTTGCAGCTTTGGAAAAGATCAAAGAAGGTCCCAAAAAAAAAAAAGATGCATTTTATCTAATTTTAAAATATTTGTTGATGGCTTTTTTTTTTTTTTTTTTTTGTGTGTGATCATTTGGTGTAATATTGGTGTTGAATATTTTGAAGCAGAGCTAATGCTTTTTGGAGTTTTGTCACTTTTGATGGGTCATTGGATTGTTGTTGTGGCCAAGATTTGTGTGAAAACCTCTGCTTTGAGCAGCAAATTTTTCCCATGCGCATTAGATGGCCAAGTTTCTTCAGTGGATGATTTTCTTGTTTCAACGTCAGAGTCTGTTAATAAGTCGGTTCCCAGAAAGCATTTTGCAGTTCATGAATATTGTTCTCAGGTATATGTATATATACACTGCTTCCTTCTCACCCTTTCATATAATTTTAGAATATGATTTTTATTTAAAACACGCAATCTTAATAGATTATGGCTCATAGTTATATTCTAATCGGAGATTAGTACTCATTTGAGGCCGTGTTTGGTGCACTGAATTGTATAGGATGATTTCATTGAGCTTTGATGTCATGTGTATAATTTTGGAATATGATTTTTATTTAAAACGTGCAATCTTCCGTTCGGTTCGTTAATTTGAGTTTTTAATTCGACTTGAGATGTGATGTTGTGTGAGAGTTTTTTACTGTAGTAAAAAAATTAGATGTGATTATTTCTGAGAGCTTTTTACTGTAGCAAAACTCGAATTCTAAACTCAAATTAGTAAAAAAAACGGGGCCTTAATAGATTATGGCTCATAGTTATATTTTAATCGGAGATTAGTACTCGTTTGAGGCCGTGTTTTTGTGCACCGAATTGCATAGGATGATTTCACTGAGCTTGGATGTCACGTGTTGTTTAGCATCATATTGGAGTGGATTATTTTGTTACGCAAAAGTGGGACCCACAATAATTATGGAGGTATGAGATTAGTAAAATCTACATACCTCAATGGGATTAGTACTCCATTAACATGTCGAAATGGGAATACTTTTGGCGGAAGAGATTACGAATCTTGTCTCGGGTTATGCACCAAACATGGGATTAAGAGGACGTTTGTTTCTTATTTTCATCACTGATTCTGAATCATGATTCATGGTTCTCTATAATGTTTTTCTCTCACAAAAACACACGTAAAACGAGAATGATTCTGAATTCATGAACCAAACGTCCACTTATCCGATCTGATTCTCCCTTTTACACCGTGCACCAAACATGGGGTAAAGATGTTCATGCTCAGTCAATTGCTTAGAGACTTAACAATAATATTAATAGAAAAAAAAAATCACACTAGTTATCATGTCCTAAGTAGCAAGTGATTCTAAGTATCAAAAAAGTAGTAAAGGATTCATTTGATTTGATTGTTCTATGAACAAGGTTTATAATTTATAGGAGAATCTTACAAATTAGCCTGTTGTTTGCTGGCCAGGGTCACGAATCTTTTGCCTCCCATGAAAGTCTTGAACAGCTTCATCGTTTCATATTTGTTCTTGGCACCACACATGTTTTCTACAGCTTTGCTGCCATTGCCTTGGCCATGCTTAAGGTTGAATACATAAATACATACATATGCTTTTTCTGCGGTCCATCAAGCGTAACACGTAAAACTGAAAAACATAATATAACAGTCATTTTGAAGAGGTGTATAATCTATTTTACACTTCCCCAACATCAATGTTGAGTTCAATGACCGTCGTGTTACATTTTTCATTTTTAGATGTTACGTTGGAGGACCTCCTATCAGAGGGACTGCAGGAAAAGATCTACGTATTCATTTTCTAGTATGTGCTTTGTAATGCTCAATTGGGCCTTAATTTTGAGCACTAACTAAATTTGATGCAGATCTATAGTTGGAGAGTATGGGAAAATGAAGCCAAAGTTATAGCTAATCAGAGCTTAGAAGGTAACACTCTTTAGCTGATTATAGAGATTTTTTATTTATTTATAAAATTGTTATAATCATTATAAATCTCTTGATTTACCATATTAATTTTTCTGAATTCAGACAGTCCAGAAGCTCTTCCAAACTGTGCAAGAATGAGAAGAATGTCTACTTTTATTGACCACCATACATCCCATTCATGGAGCCAACATAAGTTTCTTGTTTGGATGGTATTTTCACAATTTTATTTTAATTTGTTTACTAGAAAGAACAATTCTAGTTACTTGTATTATTTCTCAAGAATTGTGTCATTTCAATTTTGCAGCTTTGTTTTAGCCGCCAGTTCTGGAGCTCGATAAACCGATCGGATTACATGGCTTTGCGATTAGGCTTCATCACTGTATGTTTCCTAGCTAAATTAAGTATCTACTTTATTTATTAAAAAAAAAAAAAAATCTTATCTACAATCTGTATGATAATATGAGTTCCAAATTTTAGATCTCTCATCAGTTTTGAGCTGCTTAATCATCATCATGTTTCGTAAATTATCGTACTTTTCTCAGTCTAATTTGATACCCTACCACAGAATCCTCCTCCTTGTTGGTAACTTTGCTGATCTTTTTTCTCTTACTATAGACTCATCAACTTCCTTTGTCATATGATTTCCATAATTATATGCTTCGGAGCATGGAGGAAGAATTTCGTGACATAGTGGGAATTAGGTACCTCATTTCTTTAATAATCTTTAGAAATTTCTCTGGTGGGCCAGTCTACTGGTAGGACCAATTCTAATCATTGGATCCGGTCAAAATCACATTGAAAAAGTATGCAAAATAGACAGTTTTTGATACAATTTGACAGTTTCTGATATAATTTGACAGTTGAAAAATAAAGAACTACCAATAGTTCATTTTTTCCAGTCTTACTAAAGAAACTCCTTAATCTCTTTTTGAACATAAGAGATTTTTAGAAAAAAATTGTTATTCAGCTAATTTTTGCATATCTTTGTTGCAGTATTCCTCTCTGGATATATGCCATTTGTTGCATCTTTCTGGATTTTCATGGTAATTCTCTTTGATCCCTCACTAACTTATAACATAAATTTACCTGATTAAACATAATCGACAATATAAAAGTAAGCACCATTATGTTAGCATATAATCTCACATATTGTTTATTGAAAAGCCATGGATCTTTTCTTAAAATCTGTTTAGTACTGAAGTACATTTGTGTTCTTCCCATCTTTGAAATTTGTTTAATTTCTACCTTTTAGTTATGGAGTTAATCCTTAGAGCATGAACTGTGTGACTTGAATTCAGGAAGCAACATTTACTTTTGGCTTTCCTTCCTCCCTGCTATTGTAAGTCATCTCCTTCAAACTATTTTCCTCTTTACATTTTTCTTCTACTTAATATTAATATGTAGGACTCCAGAATATATGTATGTGTGTGGGACTCCTATTGTGTATATATATTTTTTCCTATTGTGTATATATATATTAGTGGGTACTTTTTCCCTTGGACCCAATGGCTCTTTCTATTTTTTTCCCTTAAAAAAGATTTTTTAATATACAATCTATTTTGCTATTTTCCCCTCTTGAAATTTTATGAATTACAATATCTAGTTAGAATTTCTTGAAAAATTTCAATTGTACTCCAAGTTTTGACTTTTTAAGTATACTCATATTTCCAAATTAAAACCCCAACTAGATTTTTAGTTTCTACACCCCTGTGAAAAGAATTTCCTGGCTCCACCATTTGATTACATTATCTGTGATAAATAGCAGTTCTCTATTAAGTCTGCTAATATTTCTCTCTCCCTTTTCTTTTCTTTGAAATGCACAATAGTTGATCCTGCTTATTGGTACTAAACTTCATCGAGTGGTGGTAAAACTAGCCGTTGAAATCATGGATAACTGTCCATACATGGAAAATCGCCGGTTTAAGCTGCGGGATGAGCTCTTTTGGTTTGGAAAGCCAAGGCTTCTATTGCACTTGATACAACTAATATCCTTTCAAGTGAGTAATGAATGATTAACACCCTCTTAATTAAGCCTATGAAATCCCATCTAGAATATGCATTCTCGTCTAAATCACTACTAAAAACCTCTGTTTTTTGCAGAATGCGTTTGAGATGGCAACTTTCATTTGGTCCCTGGTGAGAATATTTCCTTCCAAAGAAAGACTTCACATTGTGAGATTCTTAATTATGATGCTCATTTCATTGTTTTTGCTCCAGTGGGAAATTAAGGAGCCTTCTTGTTTCATGGACAACCGTCGATTCCTCGCGATTCGCTTGTCGTTCGGGTACAACCCCCACGGATAAAACAGCTTCTAGAATGTGCTGGTGTGCCATTAAAAAGTTGATGTTTACAAGTATTATTCTTCACTGCAGGGTGATCTCACAGTTCTGGTGCAGCTTCATTACATTCCCACTCTATGTTATCATCACCCAGGTTTGAAGTTGGACTTTCCCTCCTATTCCAGTATTTCTCTCTCTCTCTCTCTCTTTCTTTTCTCCAAGGATGCGTAATTTACTAATTTGTAATGGAACACAAAAAGAATAGAAAATGTTTAGTAAAGCATAGATAGGAATACTCAAGAGAACAATTGAATTGATTTCCTTTTCAATATTTAATTGCCTATTAGGAGTTGAACTTGGAAACAACCCGATTTCCCTTTAAATCATAATACCAACATAATAAATGTATTTGTACATATGATCATCCACTAAAAAAGGGCCATAAGACCATGTCTAAATGTCAATGTTAATGCTATGTTTGACACAAAAAGTTCTGAAAATTACAAATTTGATATGTTGTTCTATTTTGTACTTCAGTATATAATGCTATTTTAAATTGGAGGATGAATTTTGGCACTGACATTACAATAAAGATGCTTTTAGTGATTTCATGCTTTATACCAATTCAAGTAGAAAGAAATTAACCTCTGAAAACAGGAATAAGTTGGAAAAGAAAACTTTTCCTTTCTTCATTTTGATTCATGACAGTTCACTATTACAAAAACGTTGTTTAAAATCAGTCGAAAACCTTTGTTAACGATATTGATCATATTGTTGTAGATGGGATCTAGGTTCAAGAGAACTGTGATATCAGAAGGTGTGAGAAGATCATTATCTGGGTGGAAGAGAAGAGTCAAGGCCAGGCATTCCACGCCACATACAACTCCACTTCTTAGTTCAACACCAACAACGACAACAACTACTACGACATCCTCGGATTCTGTGCTGAGTGGGACCCACAGGAGTGACGACTTTGCCTCAACTAGCACAGAAGGAAGCTCCTCGGGAGTCCACAACACAAGTCATGGAATTGGAATGTCTCGTCAATTTCCATTCTTTGGAAGTCCTCTCTACGACAGTTTCAGCAGTAACGACAGTGAAATACGACATCGTAGTGTTAACAACAATGATGCTACGTCACCTTAAGCTCCTTATTAAGAGCATTAATCAATACTAAAGATTACTTTTATGAAGAAATTAGAGACATAATATACAAAATATTTTGGTGAAAAACATGTTGCTTGTCTCTAAACGAGATGGCATTTTGTCTCTGAAAGATTGCTATTTATCATGCGAAAACGGCACCTTTAGAAACTACGTGTCGTTTCTTACCGTGATGTTCGAAAGCTAACGACGTGTGCCATAAAGTGCGCAATTATTTGATATTATGCCGCCGTGTTTTTTTTTTTTAACAAAACGGCACTGCTAATAGAACATCTGAAAACGACATACTGTCTAAAGTTTATCTCCTTTATGCTACTACAGACATGTCGTTTCCAGTTCAAAAGCTTGCTGTCGTTTGAGAACATCAAAAGCTTGTATTTTTTTTTTTAACCCTGGCTTCCTTTAGGGTGCAACCCCCAATTGTGATCCACTGGTGGAGTGTTATTACCGTATTAGATTAATTATACAACTGTCATAGTTCTGTGTAGTGTGTTATGTAAATTTTTAATACGAATCTATACAGATTTAACTGTTAAAAAATTAATCTAACAATTAAAAACACTTACTCCGTCGGTGGGTCACAATTGGTGGTTCCTTTGGGATTTGTTTTCCTCGCATCAAATGAGCAACATGTAGTTATTATTGTATTAATATTTCTGCTCCCGAAATGACGTGTCATTTTGCGGTAGGCTGTCTTATTTATTTGCTCAAAAGAATGATATGCGATTCATATTTTAGAATTTTTGGTGTCTACCTAAAAACAATATGGAGCTAGTGTTTATTTTTAATTTTTTTAGAATTTTCTTTTAAAACACCTGTTATGCTTGGAGACGTCATTACAATATATAAACGGCACTTCGTTTTAAATCAGACAAACGACGTGTTTTCATTGTTGAATGTTCCCAAGTTTATTCCCCCAAACTGCATGTCGTTTTCTTAAAAATGATTATTTTCTCTTTTGAAAAAAAATTGTGGTTGTTGAGAAAATATACACTATACATTTTTACATATATATTTTTATGAATAATTTCAATTTGATACTTTGTGTTATAGCAAAATTATCTTTTAATACTCTGTGTTTTTTATAATTTTAAATTGATACCTCTGTCTTTAAAAAATTAATTTTTAGTACCCTGAAGCCTTTTTTTAAATATAAAATGCCGAATTTTCCCTTTTTTTAATAATTTCTGATTTGGTTGAATACTCTTTATTAAGTAAAAATTTCTGATTTGGTTGAATACTCTTTATTAAGGGATTGTTTAGAAGTTATACTCAAACTCAAATTATGATTATGTTACAATATTTTTTATCTCATAAAAAGTTTAAATTTCAAAATTTGCTCTCTCATAAAATTCTTGCTAATGAACTCAAAACATGATTTGAGTATACATTCCAAACGAGCTTTAAAAATTTTGAAAAAAACCTTATCGTCTAACACCCTTTTAGCCTTTAATAATTAAAAAATTAAATTCGAGTAAACCAAAATAACAAATTACTAAAAGGACAAATTCGATATTTTTATGTTCTAAAAAAGAGTTTCAAGGTACTAAAAATTAAATTTTTAAAAGGGAGAGGCACTAATTCAAAATTATTAAGAACAAATGATAATGAAAAACAATTTCACTATAACATAGGGTACTAAATTAAAATTATCCTTATTTTTTACTTTCTTCCTCAAAATTTTGAAAACTTCCCAATGTTTTCTCTTTTTTCTTTCATTGTTGGTTGGAAAACTTGTTTTTCGGGTTGGAAATTTCAAAATCTAGGCCCCTGTTTGTTTCATCAATTTAATTCAATTTAACTTGATTTGAACGGTGAGCATAGTTTAAATTCATTTTGGTAAGTACTCAATTTGAATTATATTCTCTGTTTGAACGAGTTAAAGTGTCCAACTTAAAATTTAACTCCCTCTTAAATTGTAACCGTTCAAAATATTTGTGAACAATAAAAAGGTGCCAACTCACACCTAATAAACACAAATTTTAATTTTATTTATTTTTTAGATTAAAATTTTAATTGTACATCTAAAAACCAATTCAAACTATAATTTTAACTGCACAATTTAAATTTTTCTGTGTAAATAAAAAAATTTAAATCAACAAAATTGATTAGACCGGCTAATTTTGCTCCTTCCTGTTTGAGAACGTGGCACCATATAATTGGTTGTAATGTTTGAACGACCACTCTTTTCCGCACCTGATAGTTTCTTATATACTTCCTTATTAGAACACTCAAAGAAAAAGAAGTCCCCTTTTGCAAGAAAACTGAACTGCTTCTCTCTCCTCTCTCTCTCTCTCTCTCTCTCTCCATTTCTCGGGATCCTTCTCTTCTCTGTTTCTTCCAATCTTCTACCATGGTGCTCGAGGTAAAATCCCTTCTTCCCACTTTCAATCAATCTCCAATTTCAACTTTGTTTCTCACGATTTTGAAACTCCGATTATCTCATTGTATGTCAAGAAATTAGGGTTTTTTTTCTTCGATTTTAATATGTTTCGCCTATGGCTTCTATTCACAGGCAACGATGATCTGTATCGATAATTCAGAATGGATGCGAAATGGTGACTATTCGCCTTCCAGGTTTCAAGCTCAATCCGATGCTGTTAACCTCATTTGTGGAGCTAAAACCCAGGTCAAGAATATTTCACTCGTTTTTCTTTGTTTTCTATTGTTTATCGTTTGTTTGGTTTGTGGGAAAATGTGGGAAAAGAAAGGAAAACCTGGAATCTTGTTGTAGCTGGGTGGAGTTGTAGTGACTAGTGTTCTGTTGCGTTTGTTTCGCTATATTTTATCGTGCTGAAGATTGCTTTATTTGTTTCTATGTACTGGATTTTAATTTTAGGACTTAATTTGTTGTTGCAAAACATTTATACTTTGGGTTAATTGAATTGTGTTATGGATTCCTGAGAAATGGAGACAAGAGAAAATATGTAGTGTTCATTTAGTCCTTGTTTAGATATTTGAAGAAATATATTTGGATTTTGTGCAGTCTAATCCGGAGAATACAGTAGGAGTTCTCACAATGGCAGGAAAAGGGGTTCGTGTTTTAGTCACTCCTACTAGTGATCTTGGCAAGATCCTAGCATGCATGCATGGTTAGTTTGTTTTTATGTATTGATTTTATTTATTTGATTTAGCATTTTTGGATTCTTGTTGGATCTGGGTCAGTATAACGTTTATTTATTTATTTATTTTTTATTTTTTTAATGCTCGCAACGTTTAATGTATTTTGTTTCATATTACAGTTACCTTGTCAAATGCCTTCTGTGGTTAAATGAAAAATAAAGACTTGCCTTCTGGAAATTAAGGAAAGAGAGGGTGATAAATTATACTTGCTTAGATGAACTATTATGAAAGATAAACTAAAGACAAATTGAGTAGATAAAAGTTCTTTACTTTTCAGCATCTTCGGCTGGGTAAAAATGTTTTGGGATTTAACGTTTATAATATTTAGAAAACTGCTACAATCGGCATTGGGTGTTAATTTACTTTTCCTTTGCCTCTAGATGTCATATTCATCAACAAATTTCTCCTAAAATGATGTAGGACAAGATAGAACAGAGAACTGAGAAAGAAGAATTGAGGCAAGATAGAGTAGAAGAATCCCAAGGGAGATAGAAAGAGAACCTTAGAGAGGGAGATAGAAAGAGAACCTTAGAGAGGGAAATAGAAGACTTAGTGAGAGAATAGAATCAGGAGAGAGATTGAACCACTAGAGATAGAAGAGAATAGCAACAAGGGAACTAGACATCTCAATATTCATTAATGATCAAACTAAATTTAAATTACAATCACGAAGGTGCTTATAGAAATCGAAACAAATAAGATAAACTTAACTTCATTTTGAATAATGCTAAGAATTAACACAATCTCAAGTAAATCCTAATTCAAAATTATATACTAAAAGTAACATCTATCGTAATGACTATATATTTTCAATTCATGATCTTTCGAATCTTGTTCTGCATCATAAAGACTTTAATTTGAGGTGGAGATATTTGAGGGCATTCCACTCATCCACTTAATTTTGTTTGTGTTTACTAGCAAATAATGTTTATCTGACTCATCATACATATCGATTAAGTGTGAAGTCCTTGCCAAAGAAGTTGCATAGAAGAAATAGTCTTGTTATCTTTATCGCCTTGGTATGGTTCACACTTGGGAATTTTTCCAACTGGTGGACTTGCTTGAGCTTTTTGTTGGCCCTCTTTCTGGATTTGATTTAGTAATGTCAGAGATAGTGCAGTGTTTAGTCATATGGAGGATGTTTGGGGCTGCATATATGTCTTTATCAATTTAGTATATATACTTGTGGATAAAGTATATATGTGTTATACTCCTCTAGTCTCTTAAGTTTTTGTTAGCATGTCCTTGGTGAACCTAAGTGTTGTGCCGTAAATCTTCAAGGTACCATGTTGGAATCTAAAAATATAATGTCACAAGTGTATTTGGAACATTTGGAGGAACAGATACAGTTGTTTCTTTCCAATTGTCTTGGAAATGATTGTTGTCTTTTGTCATTTCTATATAGTTTCCAATTTAATGATATTCTTTCCCTTTTAAATATAGGTCTAGAAATAGGTGGTGAGATGAATCTGGCCGCTGGAATTCAGGTGGCTCAGCTGGCTCTTAAGCATCGGCAGAACAAGAAGCAGCAACAAAGAATCATCGTCTTTGTTGGAAGGTATTTTAACATGCGAGTTGCGTATCTTTTCACTATCTGATACTCCCATTCTTACATTTCACATTATTTACAGTCCCATAAAGCATGAGAAAAAGTTGTTGGAGATGATCGGAAGGAAGTTAAAGAAGAATAGTGTAGCACTTGATATTGTTAATTTTGGTGAAGAAGATGATGGAAAGACTGAGAAGCTAGAAGCTCTTCTTGCTGCTGTCAACAATAATGATACCAGTCACATTGTTCATGTTCCACCTGGTCCAAATGTGCTTTCCGATGTACTTATAAGGTTGATTCTTTTAATTTCTTCCTTGCTTCTTTTATTTGTGAGATACTTTATTAAACTTTTCCAATGTTGTTCATGTTGCAGTACGCCTATCTTCACTGGGGATGGGGAAGGTGCAAGTGGTTTTGTGGCAGCATCGGCAGCCGCTGCAGCTGGAGGTGCATCTGGTTTTGATTTTGGTGTAGATCCCAACCTAGATCCAGAGCTGGCCCTTGCTCTTAGAGTTTCTATGGAAGAGGAGAGGGCCAGACAGGAAGCAGCTGCTAAAAAGGCTGCAGAGGAGGCAGCTAAGCAAGAGAAAGGAGGGGAGCAACCCTCCAGCTCACAGGATGCAACTATGACTGAGCGTGCCACAACTCCAGCTTCTGGAGCGGACAATAAGGCAACTGATTTAATGGTTGGTTACCCTTTGCTTTGAATTTGAAGAAGTCACTTTTTGCACTTTTATCTTTGATCAAGCAGTGCCAAGACTTTTTATGTTTCAGAGCTACAAGATTAACATGCTCGACAATTTCCATGTTTGTGAAATTGTTTTCTGGGGTTCCTTTCTTTTTTTTTTAAAAACCTTTGCAAAGTGGGGCAGGGGAGACACTTAGGCAGTAACATTCAGGTTCGTTAAATGTGTTAGGCATATGAAAATTCATTCTCTTTGTTGGCTGGCTTAAATTCTTTTTTGATTGTCTTTGGTCTAATGGTTCAACATCCAACAGGACGATGAGAATGCTCTGCTGCAGCAGGCCCTTGCAATGTCAATGGACGACCCTGCCTCGAGTCATGATGTGCGAGACACAGATATGTCTGAGGCAGCTGCAGTTGATCCAGAATTGGCCCTAGGTAAGTCTTGTTGCATCGAGCTATTCTTTTTTATGCTTGGATGCACGTTTGATCCTTCCTTTTTCTCTGTAGCTGGTATGTTTCATTTAGAGCAATTACTTTTGGTCTGGTGAAATATATTGGTGATTGACCTAGTGCTATAAGTGAGGACGAGTTACTGCAACAAAATTGTGAAGCATTTTTTAGATTGTTTTGCTGGCAAGCTCTGTAGGTAGGTGTGGCAATTTGTGTCACTTGTCGTGTTCGTGTCGTGTTTTTGATTGTTTTACTCTTAAACTTGCAGTCAACCCGAACACGACTCGTGACATGAAATTTTTTAAAAACTGCAACATGAATACGACACGACCACTTTACGGGTTGACACGACACGACACGAAAATGACCCGTGACACGAAATTGACCTGTGAACCTGAAATTGACACGAAAATTATATACTTTTCTTTAGTTTTTTACATATTAGAAATAACTTAAAATGCATAACACTAAAATATAATAATATCCATCAAAATTAAGCAAATAATAGTATAAGATTTTGAGTATAACTATTATGATATCACAAGTTCATAATAAAATCTAAATTATGTAATGAAAAAAAACATTTTTTTAGTTTTTTACGAGTTTCGTATCGTGTTTGGGTTTGGCGGGCCCAAACCCAAAATTGACCAGTGGTTTTCATATTCTGATCTGTATATCTTTTTTTTCAACCCTAACATAAGAAATTCGTGTCGTTTTCAAATCGTGTTGTCGTGTCGTGACCCATATTGCCGGCCCTATCTGTAGGTCCACTTGTGTCATTGCATTAAATAAGAGTTAGAAATTTGCCAACTTCTGCATATTCTTATTATAATATACAACTGCTTTTTATTAGCTTGTGTATTCAATAAGTTGGGATCCTCTTAGCACATATTTGGATGCCCACCAATGTCCAAATGTTTATTACTGATTCAAGTATATGATTTAATTGTCGATCTCTCAATGCTCACAGCTCTTCAATTATCAGCACAGGACAGCACAAAAGATTCCTCTAACCCAGCAGATATGAGTAAGCTGCTGGCTGACCAGTCTTTTGTGTCTTCCATCCTCGCCTCGGTATATTTGCCACAACCTGCAACATTTTCTTGCCCGTAGCGAAACATTGCTTCTAGATTTTAATAAATTGTATAATTTGAGTGTTTCTGCAGCTTCCAGGGGTTGATCCAAATGATCCTTCAGTTAAAGATTTGCTTGCTTCCATGCAAAGCCAGTCAGAGGTGAGTTTATTTGATATGGGGTGATTGGAAACTAAAATGATTTACTTCTATTTAAATTGGATTCACTAACTTTTAATCAATGTTCCTGTCAAGATACTACGTGCCTATGATCCTGACCATTGACTTCTATCATCTTCTTTTTAATTCCTTAGACTGACAAGAAGAAAAATGAAGACAAAGAACCGAAAGAGGAGGATAAATAAGTGTCTGAACTCGGAAAGTTTTCCGTGCCAGGTTTTACTTCTAAACCTCACCACTCCATGTCTTCAGCTGTGATACTTTGCTCTTACTTGACTTTTGTCTTAATGTTTGCCATGCAGGTCAAAGAGGCTCTCCAGTGTTACACCATTGAAATTGATTTTATTTTTGGGGGCCTATTGTTAACTATCATTTGTCTTTGATAGTGTTTCTTCAGACAAGCAGGGACTATTATTCGTAGGGGGAGTATCTGGTAAAAAACATTGAAATGTATCTCTGCTTTGTTTCAACGTCTCTATATACCATTTATTTTGAGAATTATGCATTCCTCTGCGGTTTTTGGTCTATGATGATTTTTATGGCTAAGACTGCTCGGACCACATCTTTCTCAGTCTTAGAGATGAGTTTCTCAATTCTTAAATCAATAATTTTTGCTTCCTTGTTGCTTTCAATTTTGAAATGTGGTCCATTCTCAGTGTTGTCACCTATCGTTGTGGTAATACAGCCTACCCTATATACGCCTGTTTTTTATTAGCTAATCGACCAAATGTGTGTGTGTGTGTGTGTATTATCATGAAACGAAATGTCCAACACGAAAATTTTGGTTGACAGAAATTTAATTTGTTGATGGGATAGCATGTCAATTTCATAAGACAAAGTATACATGCATGCAATAAAATCGTATAAGATAGTGTGGATCCCACACAGCTCAATTCTGGCCTTTGTCGGTGGTGATTTGAACTTTTTTTAGTTCAGTTCTGCACCTTAACTATTGGAAAAAAAGATTGATCAAAAGTCTCACTCAGTAATTATTTACAATACTAGTTGACATTTCACAAATTCCATTCCATTCCTCATCTCATTGACCTTTTTCCGCTCCCCTAACCTTATTGTCATAATAACCCATAACAATCCTATGGTGGTTTGAATTGCTTTGCATAATGACCCATAACAATCCTATGGTGGTTTGAATTGCTCTAATTGGCAGCTATACAGAAGTAGAAATGAGTCAAATATCTATGGCTTTTACCGTTTTATTTTTTATTAATATTTTTTAATTAAATAATTTTATTAGTTAAAATGGTATTAATTAAGAATGAGAGAAAAATTCAGACCCAAATAAGGGGTAAAATTTCAAATCCATGCACAAAGGTAAATTAAGCAATTTTCTCATAAATAAACATATAAAATCAGCTTCAAAGGATTTGGCATTTTGTCTCGAAGCAAAACATAAAAGGCTGTTAGAATGTTCAAGGGTATTAAGTAAAATGAAGTAATCATGTCAATTATAAATCAAATGAAAAAATAATAATAAAAATAAAAAGGCTTCTTCACAAAGTATTGGCCAAATGTAGATGACCATGACGTATAACTATTTATTTCTCTAAGGCCTAGGACAGCTGTATGAGTATAACAATTGCTAAAGAATGTTGACACATTGTAACTTTGCTTTTATTAACAGTGATAGAGACCAAAGCATTAATTCCATTCGACATTAAAATGCCAAAAACCATTACCTTGATTCGGCAAAGTTGCTCTTAAAGTTTCTTTTACAATAAGAATGTAAATGAGAGGTGTTATTGGATATCCATAAGTCATATCATACGCAAACTTATTACTAAATAAATTTTTAGTTCATTTTTCTACCATAAAAATTTTTTTTTTTTTTTTTTTTTTTTTTTTTTTTTTTTTTTTTTAATAGCACAAACGGAAAAAATTAGGTGCGTTTAGAACTCGTTCTAAAATGATTTTGGTTTTTGTATAAAAATGAAAATGAAAACGTTTTTAATCTCAGACATAAATTATTTTTGAAAATGCGTTTGGTAGTTTTATCAAGAGATTGTATTCAGAGTAAAAAAAACTCATTAATGTCTCTCTTTCTCTCTCTCTATGCTCGAGAGAGGAGAAAACGAAAATAAAAAATGAAAAACGATTAAAAGTCGTTTTTCATTTCTCTTTCATTTTACACTAAACAAAAAAATAATTTTCATTTCCCTTTTTTGTCTTTATTGTGCCAAATGCCGTTTTGAAAATGTTTTCATTTTTTCTTTTTCGAAAAACATAAAAAACAAAAATGGGATTAATTCTAAACACGGCAATTGTGTTAGATGTTGAAAGCTTCGATGAGGTGAATTGTTAGTTCTAACCTTCTGTTTTGACCGTTACCATCACCCACCAAAAAAAAAAGGGGAAGAAAAACTGACCAATCATACAAGGTTATTCCTCGCTAAAGCCAGAAGTCACATGGCGTTCACATGCAGTTAGCTGACGCTAATGCAATTAGCTAGGAATTTTATTTTACTGTATGAATAAATAAATAAATAAATAAACGTCCTCTAGTGCAAAGATTCGGCCACTAAAAAAGTTTCACATTATCAGATACGTAAGCCAATTGAAAACTCTGCAAATGGGGTTCCCATTATACAACAACAACTATATCTATAGGTGTATATATATAGGCCGGCTAGTTTATATCTCCAGAGGAAAAACCAAGGCTGGTTTTTGTCTATATCCAAATTCCAAACACTTAAAAATAACAAAAGTATTTATTATAAGTGGTTTCTCTGTTCACAAAACTAATACTGGTTTGATCAAATCGACCAGTTCATGAAAGAGTCAAAAAGAAAAGTGATCTCTTGGGGAAATAGAGAAGGGATTTTTTATTGAGAAATGGGGTCAGTTTGGTTTCTTCAGTTTGTGGTGGTTTTTGGTGTTGTGGGATTTTTTTGTGATGGTTTGGTAGTTAGTGGCAGTTATGTGAAGTATAATACTAGTAGTGGCATTGTGGAGGGGAAGTTGAATGTGCATTTGGTGCCTCATTCTCATGACGATGTGGGTTGGTTGAAGACCGTCGATCAGTACTATGTCGGAGCTAACAACAGTATTCAGGTTCGTGTGTTCTGTTTTTTTTTTTTTTTTTTGGTCTGCTGAAACCACTTTGTTGTTTTTTTGGAAGAAAAATGCTAACATCAATCTTTCTATCACTTTCTGTATTCCCCGTCTACCATCGTGGACTCTATTATCTTATTTTCTGTTAAATAGTTGAAGATCTTGTTCACCTTCATTTCACTACGTTTTTGAGTGCTGAAACAGAAAGAAAGTGTTACAAAGAAGGGACTTTTGTGGCTTACTTTATGTTTTTGGTTTTTCATTTTAGTTTATAAAGCCGGGTTTTTTTGGATGATGGATTGATCGTTGATGTGCTTATGTAGGGAGCTTGCGTTGAGAATGTGCTGGACTCGGTCGTGGAATCGCTGCGGCGTGATCCGAATAGGAAGTTTGTGTTTGCTGAGATGGTAATTAAGCCCAATGAAGTACTAAAATAAAAAATTAATGCATGTTTCTTTTGAACTTCACTTAAAAAGTGGTATGTTTTTAAGGCTTTTTTTCAAAGATGGTGGACAGAACAAAGCTTCGAGACGCAAGAACAAGTGAGGAAACTTGTAGATGATGGGCGTTTGGAGTTTATGTAAGTTCTTCAATTCTACTCTTCTTTGCTTTTTCTTTGATTATATTTCATGATATATATATATATATATATTTTTTTTTTTTTTGTTGTTGTTGTGGGAACTAGAAATGGAGGTTGGTGCATGCATGATGAAGCGACATGCCACTACATAGACATGATTGACCAAACGACACTAGGCCATAGTTACATAAAAAAGCAGTTTAATAAGGTCCCTCGTGCTGGTTGGCAAATTGATCCCTTTGGCCACTCTGCTGTCCAAGCTTACCTTCTTAGTGCTGAGGTACAAAGTTTTGGAATTCCTTGGTGGCACACTAACTTTAAGTACTTATCACCTTGCTCATTGTTATCCTTTTAACTTATTCTTTTTTTTTTTTTTTTTTTTAAATATTTTTTTGAACTGGGGTTGGGGGATTCGAACTCTATAGGTCAACATTAGAGATCAGGGTGTGTTTTTACAGCTAGACTAAGCCCGCAATCATATAATAATGCTTTTAACTCTTTTGAATATGATGGTGATCAAGAATATTTTTGGTACCTAAATTATGAAAAAAGTCTTGTTTTAGCCCTTAAGCTTTGAAATTAAGAGTAGTGTTCTTTGAGCTTCTCAAAAAGTTCCCCTTAGTAGTTAGTCCATTTTAATGTTTTCAGTTAAAGTTGAAAGCAAAATAGTCATCTTATACAAGGACCAATTTCACTTTAGAAAATGACCAATCTAGAAGGTTTTTAGTGAGTTTAGAGGCTAGTAAAGTTACCATAGAACAAATCATGGTTTTAATATGTTGGTTTCATTTGCGTAATTCCCATTAAAGACTAAGGATATTTTTTGGTTTCCCTTATTCTTACAGGTTGGATTTGAATCTGTACATTTTGCAAGGATTGATTATCAGGACAGAGCAAAGAGGAAAGGAGACAAGTCACTCGAAGTTATATGGCGTGGCTCGAAAACTTTTGGCTCTTCTTCTCAGGTTTTGAAATATGCAATTGCTGTGATATGCTATACTAGATTCACTTACTAACCATTGTTGTAACTTTTGAGCCTTGTGCAGATTTTTACCAATGCATTTCCTGTTCACTATAGTCCTCCCAATGGCTTCCATTTTGAAGTGAACGATGACTTTGTCCCTGTCCAGGTTCATATTCACTAGAAATCACTTCCTGAAAAACATGTTTTTTTTAATGTGATTTCCAGTGTATGTCACATTCGTCTTTCTAAATCTTTATTGAAAAAATTGCAGGATAATTCTCTTCTTTATGGCTACAATGTTGAGACCCGGGTTCAAAATTTTGTTGATGCTGCCAATGCCCAAGTAAATTTCTTAGCTTTCATGATATTTGCTTATCAATGTGGTTTTGGTTATATCTTAAGGCTCTTATATTTATTCTTAGTTTGAGATTGACGGACTTTTGGAATAAGGTCTAGTTTACTTATAGCAAAAGGAGAAGCAGAAGCACGAGTCAAAAACCGTTTGGTTCGCGTTTCAAAACCAAGTTTATGGTTTCGGGACAACAAAAAACAAAACCAACCATAGCAACTTTGTTTGGTGGAGCTGTTTCGGAATCAAGACCAACCATATCATTGTTTTCTCTTGATCCCAAATACTTAAATCTAAAAACATCCCACCAAGCAAGATTTTTGAAAAATTTAAGAATTATTTTTTCAGACCAATATTTCAAACTAACGTTTCAAAACACTAATTTCGATATTTTTGTGTAAAAGATCTAACTTCTCAAAAATAACTACGTAAAAGACTTTGATATGCAATTTTACTAAACATACTTCGGATCGTGTTATGTGCAAATTACATTTGGGGCCTCTAAAAGCAATACCAAACTGGCCCTTAGTGTTAATGTTGAAGAAAAGATGTTACATTAATTGCTCAAACCATCATTTCTATACAGGCTAATGTGACAAGGACAAACCACATCATGTGGACAATGGGTGATGATTTCCAATACCAGTATGCTGATTCTTGGTTCAAACAAATGGATAAATTGATACATTATGTTAACAAGGTGAGTTCATTAGAAATAGTTTTTTATCTTTATTAAAATATGTACTTTTTTTTGGCTGTTTTTAATTAGTTAAACCGTGAAAATCTCTTAGGATGGCCGGGTTAATGCTTTGTACTCCACACCATCTCTCTACACTGATGCTAAATATGCAGCCAACGAGACATGGCCACTGAAAACCGATGATTACTTCCCGTAAGCTTCAAATAGTTCTTGTACTTTGATTCTACCCTGTTGAAGAAAAAAAAAAGAGTTATTAACTATTCTTACATACATGTCTTGCTCGTTGCTAACAGGTATGCAGATAGCCAAAATGCTTACTGGACTGGATTCTTCACTAGCCGAGCTGCTTTGAAGGGATATGTTCGGATTCTGGGTGGATATTATCTGGTAACTAAAATCATGTTATAATCATTGTGCTGTTGAGTAATGTTTGATTCAAAATAAGACAGAAAGAGTGTTTATTTTTATTTTTTTCACCAATATCATGGAATTCTTATGTAAGAAGGCATATTACACTGTCCTTTATATGCCATGTCGAGACCATTAACTATGATCCATATAACATCATCAGATTTTCACTTGACTTCACATAATATATATTCTTAAAGTATCAAACAAGAATCTTTGTGTGTGCACAAAATAGGCGGCAAGGCAACTCGAGTTCCTGGTTGGGAACAGATCCAAAGGCCCGAACACTTTCAGCCTCGGAGATGCTTTAGGGATTCTACAGCACCATGATGCAGTCACTGGCACGGCCAAGCAACATACAACGAACGACTACGCCAAGCGCCTCTTTATCGGTGCCTCTGAGGTTGGCAGCAAGTTTACCATTTAAAATTATTCCCTCATTGCTAATTCTTTTTTTTTTTTTTTAGTTTATATATTCTTGTGCTTTTTGCAGTCAGAGATTGTGGTTAATTCTGCTCTTACATGCTTAGCTAAGAAGAAATCAGGAGGTCAATGTGAAGTTCAAGAATCTACATTTTCCCAGGTGATATTCAACATTGTTCCTAGCATTATTTATTTTTTTTGGATTTATCTACTTATAACTCCTGAACTTTCTACCATTTTGATTAAGTTAATCATACTTAAATTGTTTTTCTCCCACTTAATTTAAACAGTGTCGATTGCTGAATATCAGTTACTGCCCACCAACAGAAGAAGACATTACACAAGGGAAGAGTTTGGTAGATATTTCAAGCTTTTCCGACCCTTTCTTCATGAAAACTATGTTGTCGAGTTTTCCTTCTTTTTTCTTTTTCAATATTTATTTTCCTTAACTGGCCATTTCAGATTGTAGTGGCATATAACTCTCTTGGGTGGCGTCGTACCGACGTTGTTAGAATACCGGTTAGTACATCTTCACTTAGTTTATACTATCAAAAAGTTGGTTACTATCTTAATAAATAGAACATTCTCTCCTATATGGCCTAAGAGTCACAATCTCCACCAGGTTAATGATGCCCATCTTGTTGTTAAAGATTCCTCAGGCAACACCATTGAGGCACAATTCGTAAGCTTAGACAATGTCACAAGGAACATAAGAAAGTTCTACACACAAGCCTACTTGGGAAAACAACCTGAAGAAGCTCCCAAGTATTGGCTTCATTTTCAAGTGTCTGTGCCACCACTGGGTTGGAATACTTACTTCATTTCTAAAGGAGATAACAATGGTAGTTATTATGTTCTTTTTGACACCCACTATAAATTCCTCGGTAAAGGATCAAGTTCTTCACGAAGGACCAGTCTTACATGTTAACATAACATTTATTTTATGTAACAATGATTTTGTAAAGGTTTAACAATAAGGAATTTATCTATCAAATACCAATATACACCTTTTTAAAGTTGCTGATACATAGAATAAATGTTATGTTAGACCCCCAACTTTTACCTGCTACAAAGGAGGACCCGTCCTCCCGAAGGACCGTAGACAAACCCTCAACGTTGCATAGATTATTTGCAAAGAGGAAGATAATTTCTCTCATTGGTTTAGTTTGTTCTCTCTCCAAACCATTGCAGTGAAACGAAGACATGAACTTGCCTCTGAGACGAAGAGTTCACAAGACGACACAATTGAAATCGGACCTGGAGATTTGAAGATGTCCTTTTCTTCTACTTCAGGACAACTGAAACGCATGTACAATTCTAAAACTGGGGTAAGTTGTTAATAAAAAGTAGCCATGAGAAAATCTCTTACTGACACAAAATCCATAATATGGTATCAATTGGGCATTCTGATCACAACTCATTGCAACACTAACATGTAATGTGTAATTAATGTGCACATCACCTCATTATCATTTGTCACATAAATTTATAATTATTATCTTTTGATGTGTATATACCAATAGGCAGTATTTAAAATACTTTTCAAAGAAATTAGAAGGGAATGAAACAAAAAACTGAATAGATTTATAATCAGTCGATGCGCAAAACCAGATAATAACTTCTCTTCCCCTTTCCTTTCTGCCTTTATTCTTAATTTTTGGAGGCTGAAGTAATTCATGCTTGATTGTCATATATTACAAGGTTGATGTACCAATACAACAGACATATCTCTGGTATGGTTCAAGCACTGGTGATGCAGATTCTCAGGTATATCTGAAGTTCCTATAGAAGCTAATAGTTTCTTGAGTTTCTTTAGCTCTAAATTGAGATGATGCAATATAATGATCTATGTTTGGAATAATCTGTTTTTGCAGGCTTCAGGGGCTTACATTTTCCGGCCTAATGGGTCCCCTCCGACCGTTGTTTCAAGATCAGTAAGCGCTTTCTTAATACTATAATGTATACGTTGTTGTTCTGTCCATTTGACCATTTCATAACCCGTGATGATACATATCATGAAAAACTTTATCACGAACATCATGAATGCACACGTGTCAAAATTTTGTTGGTTCTACGAAACTGAAATGACCATTTTGTCACGGCTTTTTTGCATTTGACAAAATTTTGATACATATGACTGAAATGACTGTACATAAACTACTTTCTCAAAGATGTTTTTCCTCAATAGTAAAGCTTTTTGAGACAATTATGTGTCTAATGATCACAAGATAAACTTGGGAGAATAATTTCGTGCATTCTTCAGGTTCCGCTAGAGGTCATTCGCGGTGATCTAGTAGATGAAATTCACCAAGAGTTTGATTCATGGATCTACCAGGTAAATTAACATATTTGTAGGTTCAATGTTCTAGGACTTTCAATTACAAACGAAACTAATTAATAGTAATTTGCTGCTCTTTTAAGTATCAGAAATAGGATTTGGAGGTATTTGACTCACTAAATACTATTTCAAATGCATAATTTACTCTTCAAGATACTTTTTTTTTTTTTTTTTTTTTTGAATTTGTTAAAAAAAAAATTTTCAGTTTTTTCCCTTG